CTTTCGGTAATTAAAAATTACGCATACGCAGCGTGGCGCTTGCTGGCAAAGAAAAATAAACAAGCAGCATTTCAAAGCGAGGATTATATAAAATATTTCCTCAACTATGCATAAATTATGTGGTCTTTTGCTTAAGTTGGTCTGGCAGTTGAGCATGGCATGTGCTTTGTTGTGGCCTATTGAGGACCGGTCAGTGCTTTGGCATTTCTTGAAAGACCTATTGGCTTTAGTTATAAAATTATATGCTAACCGCAAGCTTTTGCTGTGGCCCGTTTGCCAATACGACCATAGCACAAGGCGCATCAATCAGGCCATTCCCCCGATCCCATAGCCAATTCACATGTAAGCAGCTGCTGCTGCTGCATTTGCGCCATGGTCAAATTCTTCACAAGCTGTGACGCAATTCGTGCGAACGTGTCTCAATAACAAAATTAACAGAAATTGCAACATATTGTTGCATGTGGTCGAATTAGGGGCAGCAGCACGGGCAGCTTGTCTGCGTGCGGTTCCAGAAGGTGGACGGCACGTGCGTATGTGGTCTGCACCACAACAAATTGCTAGAGAAATCAACGTGACGGTCAGCATTTGTGTCAAAAACTTTTTTGCCAACTGCCAATAGCAACAATGTGTGCATTAAAATTGCAGTTCTTATAACATAATAAAACCATATTTCGTTCAAAAATGTAAACGTTTTAAATGAAGAAAAATTTGGAATTCTTTTCACGCTGTTTCGATTCAGATTTTCAATTGAAATCAATGAAAATAATCGAAGCTCAAGGCTCTTTTCACTTTTTAGACTCAGCATCTTCATCCTAATACAAAGCTATATAGATCTTAAGCTTTTTAAAATTACTATTTGAGTTGAGAAAAGCACAAAACTTTAATTATAAGCACACAATTAACTATAATTAATTTTAAATTTATATATTTAAAAAATTATAATTACTTATTAAAGTTTTTGAAAGAGTTAACGATATTATTGATTTTCATAGAACTATTCAGATTTCGGCTAGCAGTGATTATTATGATGGGCTGCCTAGGCTTGTATAAATAACACATTAATTGTGAATATTTATAATAAAATTATAAACTGAGTAACAAATGCTGACCTTACACACATATGACTATTAATTATGCTCATTCTATTTGTTATTTTCTGTCAGTGTAATCCACAGACAAAAACTTCAAATGCAACTTTTACACAATGCCGAACAGCTGGAGTTCCTTAACGGCAACAACAGCAACAACAACAATATCGAAGAATATGTTTAATGAAGCGACTGCCTGAGAGCGAGCAACAACAATGACAAAAGGGTCGCAGTCTTTGGCAACTGTTGCCCGTCCAAATCCTGGACTGAGCTCGTTTCACGCCCATTCACACTGACAGACTGGGCTGTGGGGGCGTGGGGAGTGGGGAGTCACCACATGTGACCAACAGCTGTGCCAGCAGCAGCTCCAAAAATGTGCTACCTCCCATTGAATATCATAGAGATAGAAATAGAAAAACGTACGTGCTAAAATTTGTGCGCTTGATTAAATTTGGAGTCGCAAAATGGTTGAAAGCCAAAAGGCGAGTCCGTGACCAAAGGCAAGGCCACAAGTGTAAGCCAAGTTGAAAGACAATCAGGCGCCAATTTAAAACCATTTTCACTGCGGGCAACCAGCCACTGGCCAGCAAGCCACCAGGCAGCCAGGCAGCCGCCACCACCTGCTGCGGCAGGCAGCTGAAACAGTTGCAGTAACTTCTGCTCGATTAGTTTTGATTTGGTTATTCGGCATTAGGCAATATGCTTTTTACTTTGCTCAATTTCTTTCATTTTTCCCCATTGTTGACTTCCCCTCGGCTCAGGCCCAGGACTAGGCCCAGGCAAATAGACTAATTTTCGGCGACCTCCCCCTGCTTCTGCTGCTTCTGCCGGCAGCTGGGGCATGTGCCGCCAATTCGTATACAAAGTTGCTCATGGTATGTTTTCCACATGCCACGGAAATACCAAACAAAACTTGCTCAGCCTCACTGGTCCACAGTTTATATTAACTTTTCTACATCGAGAGCATGTGGATATCATTGTCATTGCCATTGAGCTATAAATATCGAAGAGCAGAGTTAAACACAGCAAATGCCGGGTTTCATCAATAAATCTTGAAAATAAGAAAGGTTTTTCTAATTTCCAGAATTAAATTGATCAATTCCTCTTATGGCAACTATATGATATAGTGCTTCGATCTAAAACAGCCAAAGAGAAATCCATGACGATGTCTTTAAGACCGAGAGACTAGCTTGCCTGGAAACAGACAGGCGACCATGGTTATATCGACTCGGTTATTGATACTGATCAAGAATACATATTCTCATATTATGCGTTACACATTTCATGATAAACTCAATATACTTTAAACAGGAAAAAAATTTAGATTTATAGCAAAAAATAGTTCTTTTAGACAATCAAATTTTGCTATGACCAATTTTAGTTTGTGCTCGTAAAGACAATGCTGACGTCATACAAAAAATAGTTGAATTTGAACTCTGGCCTTCTGCCTAAACAATATTACATGCAAAGACTATTTATGTTTATGTTGTCTTTGGTAAAGGATTAAAGCAAAAGCTATTCAATATCTTTATAATTTTATTTGACTCGACAAATTTCTCCTCTGAAAAGAGGAGAAACTTTAGACAGAGGACAATATGTAATCTCTATATATAAAACTGTTTGTCCTGACTGACTGACTGACTGACTGACTGACTGATTGGTGATCAACGCACAGCCGAAACCGTAAGAGCTAGGAAGCTGAAATTTTTACTGTAGCTACCTTATGTGATGTAGGTGCACGTTAAGACGGGGTTTCGGGAAATTCCACCCGCAAGTGTGGAAAAATCGCGAAAAACGTTTGTATGTAACTTTTTTGTTTACCATCCGATCGGCTTCAAACTTATATTCAAAGATCTTTGTTCAAATTCATTTGAGGCGTGTTTCACACTTTTAGGAAAATCCATTCCTCCTTGGTGGAAAAGGAGGTCAAAGATTTGGTGGGTGACGTTTCGCGCTCAAATTCGTTTCCAAAGATCTATAAGAAAAATCATTTGAGACGTGTTTCACACTTTTCGCAGAATCCAAACTTTTTCGGGTGGAATGCGACTCAAATATTTTTGTGCGAAGTTTTAAATTGTGTCCGATATGCTTCAAACTCTACATAAGAATGTAATGAATACGTGTTTCATCGATGTGGTAAATTCAGCTCGCAGTGGTAAATTGGCGGAAAACGTTTGTATGAAAGTTATTTGTTTACTGTCCCATCAGTTTCAAAATCATTTCAAATTTTTTTGAGAACATTGATTTTATAACATACGTGCCACGGGCAAGGCCGGGTTATACCCGCTAGTATCTTTATAATTTTATTTGACTCGACAAATTTCTCCTCTGAAAAGAGTAGAAACTTTAGATAGAGGACAATATGTAATTATATATATTTTAATATAAATATCAGAGGCGGTTATATAACGAAAGTAAATCAACAATTTCCCTGATATTTGACAACAGAACTGATATTTCAACAGAAAAATAACTCAAATCTACAAAAAGCTATATTTTTATTATTATTAATTCTCTTATTTCAATTCTATTTAATTCATGATTACCTTTTTACTGGCTTACTGTTCAGTCAAATTAACATAAGTTCTAATTTTATTTTAATACAAGACTTTGCGTCATGTGCGTGTTTGTAATCTTTTATCTGTTGGTCACACATGGCGTATACTTAATATCAGCTAGTGGCACGTTTTTAATGTAAAAATCAAATCATTAAATTGGTCGAATGTTACGTGGCATAAGTCACAAATCCAACTGTTTCTTACCTTAAATGTTAGGCATGAAGCAACAAGGATTAAGACATTAAAATCCTAGGCAGTTGGGCAGCTGGGTTGCTGGGGGAGCCCCAAGCCGCAAAGGGGCCAGTTCACGTGCGTCAAGAGTCGCCCCTTAACACCTGTATAATTTGACATAAATACCAGAGCCGAGAGCTCGATCGTTTGTCGCGCGTGTTGTTGGTCCCTGAATAAGAGGCATTACACTTCCGTTAAATGTTGCTATTATTTAACAATTTTGTTTATGTATGCTACCCATGCAGACACCCGCTTCTGCTAAAGCTCTGCACCCTCGACTCCATCCGCAAACATACCCTATATGAAATATAATTTATGGTTACTAAGACTATGCCAAAAGTGTAGGGGGGAAGGGAGAAAAAACTAAATTGTCGTTGTTTCGTCGTCGTTGTTCCTCGAAACAAAAAGTGGGAAAACAATTACAGCTGACTTAACACTTCCGTTGCTTGTTGAAGAAAACCGCACACGTTTATCCTACACTCCGGCGCCGGGATAGGCAGAGTGGGGCGTAAACGCACTGCTCCTTCAAGCACTTGAAATTGTAATTTAACACGTACACGTAACAATACACCGTTTGTATTTCAGGTAACTACTTGCGTAGGTGGTCAGTTCTGGGCCGGGCGACCCACACGGCAAAACGCCCCACTGACTTGTTGACCCGTTTGCGATGGGGCACAATAAGATTACGAATTTTGATTTGGGGCTTGCTCTGCACCAAGAAATTTTATAAAAATTTTAATCCTAACCGGATTGCTCGGGATATATAAATAAAAATTGCGGCAGGTTTATAAGTTTTTATCAAGTTAAAAATTTAGGAAAAGACAATCCGTGTCAAATTAAAAAAAGGTTGGTAAAATCAAAGACCCTATTTAAAGTTGTCGTTAAAAATGTTGCATAGTAAAAATTTAACAAGAGTCCTCGTTGCAGGCAACAAAACAACGAAAATGCCGGCTCGGATTCCAGGCTAGATGCTGCCGAGTATAAGCTGAAAGCCATAGTAGACTGAACTATTTAAGAAAAATGTTATTCCCAATAAGTGTATAACTGCTAAACAAGATACTTAGAGACTGGAACCTCCATATTCCTCAGCCCAATAAAAAGACCAGAGCTTCAAGTGCCATAATTATATTTCATGTATGTAAACATTTTATTGGCGCCCTTGCGTTTATAAATCAAATGTCAAAAAAATACAGCAATAAAAATATTCCAAAAATATTCGCTGAAAATTTAATAAAGCACCTTAGCGAAATAATTTATGTTACGATTTGGTTTGTGCAACTTACAACTCAATTGTTTTCTTTGCATAGGACAAATATCGATCGATACATTGGTTTTGCATACCGATTATCGATCAGTTCACATTTTTGCTTTTTGATCAAAACATTTTGCATTTGTTCACTTTAGCTGTGCGTATTCGAGTAAAATATATAAATATAATTATTTAAATGTGGTGCAAATAATAAATAACAACAAATATTTGCTGAAAATGGGAGAGTGAATGGATAAAAACAAACATTGAGTCATCGATAAGTGTTAATTGTTGATTGTTTTGTCGATCTTTCAACAAATATTAAAGAAAATGAGGACTTTGAATAAAAGGATTATTTTAATTTAATGAAATGCACACACAGTTGGCTGTCATAAATAATATAGGATTAATAATTAAACGATTTTTTTAAAGCTGTCTCAACATTTTTTTGGGAAAAATTGTAATTGGGTAAGTTGAAAGATACTGCATGGAAAAAAATTAAAGTTTGTTCTTTATAGTATAATAATATAAAAAATAAATAAAATTCTTTATGATTCTTCAGGCAAATTGCGTTAACGATATTTGGGTAAATTTCGTTTAACTAATTTAAAATATTCGATTAAAATGGTTTAAATCTAGTCACGATTTAGAATATGAATAAGCCAATAAGCTAACTATTCGGTAGATATTGAAAGTCTGTTGCTACCACGCCTTTTAAAAAGGTGCGAACACAAAATTGGCGTTAGTATAAACGAGTCTAATCAGCCACACAAAGGCAAGGTTTTTGCTGATCAATTGATGCAAACTTACATTTGGATATCTTACGGTCTAATGCGAAACTTATCAATAAGTTAATTAATGAAACTATTTTACACATATATTTCCTGCGCTGATTTACAATGACGCGTATTGTAAATATATGTTTGTTTTTGTGTGAAAATTTGATGGCATTGTTCGTTTTGTTACGATTTGCTCATTCGAGATACGCTTTGTAACATTTGTTTGAGATACACAACTCCAGAATATAGTTAATAGTTATGCTTGTAAGCACTCTAAAGTAAACCTGAAGCATTTCTGGGCAAAGCTTAGATATAACTGGGCGGCAATGAACTACATAGGGGCTCGGCAATGATTGCATCTCACTTGGGCGACTCCGGCGGGGCATGGACGCTGCCAAAGAGCTCCTCGTAGGAGGGAGCTGCAATAGATTACAAAGTTTCAAATAAAATCCAAAATAAACTTTTAGTAAAAACTTACGCAAAGCCTGCGCGCCGCCGGTTTGGCGTGACTGCAGGAAAGATCCGGACGCCGCCGAGGTGGATGGCAATTGGCTATAGCCGCCGCCAGCCTGCGGCTGTGGTCCACCTGGCGTCGCTGGCGGAGGCGTCAGAGCGAGCAGCGTGTACTGCGGCGATTCGGGCAATGGATACGGTGGTAAGTGTGGCGGTGGATAGGACTGCACCATCAGTGGGCTGGATGAATAAGGCATGTAGGGCACATTCGAGCTGCTGCGCAAGCTAGCTCGAGCCGAGGGGCTGCCGAACTGCGAAGATTGCGAGCCAGATGTGTAGGACAACTCGACGCCACCAACCGCCGGACTCAGCGTTGAGTCCGATGTGGTGGAGTTCAGGGAACTGCATTCGCTGTATACCGATGAATGCGATGGCGAGCCAATGGAAGAATCTAGCGTTGGATACACAGACAAAGCAGCGGTCGGCTCAAAGGGATTGCCTGGTGTGGCGGCAGCGTCATCCGGACCTGGTGGCCCGTCGTCGGGACGCGGCGGCAGCGATGGACGCACGGAGCTCAGTCTGGCAGAAACATCCTGCGAATACACCTTGAAAGGCAAGTTAAGCACCAAATTTTTAAAGAAGCCGCGCAGCACAGCCTCAACACGCAGCTCATAGGCAATGGTTATGACGCCACTGTACTGCTCATCCGTAGGCTGTGCCGTATCCGGCATGAGCAGCTCGTGGGCAAAGCTGCGCTCACTTTTCTTGGCGACCGCGCCCGTCTCCTTGTTGGCAATCGCGATGCACTCGACCTTTTGCACGCGCAATGGCACATGGCTGTAATAGGTGACGTACTGCAAAATACTGCAATGAGAGAATTCAAATGTCGTTATTAGCCTGGAGTGAGTAGCTAGTATGTACTGTGAGTGATTGGGTGTTGGGGTTCGAGTTGTCCTAGGCCAGTTGGCGTCTCTAGACAAATCGAGCCAGATCCCCCAGTGGCGAAGATCTTTGAATAACGATTTCTCATCTATTTTCGCATCCATTTTCTCACAAGAGCAGAACAATCACACAGGAGCTATTGGATGTTTTCTGTCTTCTCTAAGTTCCCGCAGATGCGCCAGAAGTAATACTTATAACTCCTGTCACCGCCCTTATCCTGTTCTTGTTAAAGTGTGGAAGGTTGAATGCCTACTTGAATTGTGTGTTTGCCCAAAGTTCCCGCGAGATTTGACAATTAAGCTTAGAGACCCACTTCCCCTCTACGATCGTGCTGCTTTCAGATGTCACAATGAGCGATGCCCATGTTGGCGCACTCATCCGCCATATCCCTACCGGGCACATCTGATTAGTCGTTGGGTCACTCCCAGGATGCAGATCACACTGCACCAGTCGAATAAACGTTGAGATTTTTTTTAGTTGCCAATTTCTACGAAAAGGCGCCAGCTCTTTCCACCCGAAGGGGATTTTCAGTTTCTCACCCGGGAAAGGAAATTTGGATGTATATCTTCCAGTCGGGTGATCCCGACTTAAACAATTTGCTAAAATGATATATATTTATCCCATTGAAAAAAGTTTTGAAGCAGAGTTAACTGACTTTGTGCAAATATATTAAAAAGGCCGAAATGTCTGCGACCCCATAAAGTAAATACCTATCCCTTGATCAGGACGGCGATCTAAGTCGTCCATGAGTATCCATCCTTCCGTCTGCATGGGTCGGTCGTAGATATCATTAAAACTAGATATTTAAACATAAATCTTTTTATTTACCGCAGATCGATTTTTAAATAAAGTTTTTTGTCCTTAAATTGGACACTATAAAAGCGAGAATATTCCAATATTAAATACCTCCCCACAAACCCCACAAAACTGGGACCTGAAAATTTTATATTGTGATCGGACAGAAGACATCGAGAATCCATTTCCCACAGTGTGCATGTGTCTTTTTGTGGATGTATGTATGTATGTTTGAAAATACAAACCTAGTTTAACAACATATTTAACTGAACGTTAACTCAGACAGGCACATGCCCAACACTTACTTGAAGCGCAGCTTCTCCACATTCGTTGTGCTGTTGTTCATGACGGTAACACAAATGCGCAACGGTTCACCTCGCACGGCAAAGTCCTCGGGCAGCAGAGCCAACATGGTAATGGGTCGTGTACCGAACAGGCTAATTGTCTTGGTGATTTGCTTCTCCAGCGGAGTGGGATTGCTGCGATATGTCGATGGCAGGGGCATATTCTTTACGACCGTAAATGGTATGGTGTGGCGTTCGTCGAAGGTCCAGGGTCTTTGTATGAGTATACGCATCTTGTACTTGATGCTGCCATAGCTGCCCCGGAAGCTCGAAGGCAGCTGACGGCCCAGTGCCACATTGAAGTTGAAAGTGTGCTCGCCGGGCGACAGTTCTAGGCCGCGCGGTTCGAATTCGGGAAGCGGAGTTTCGCTATGCTCGTAAATCTCTTTGCTGGTGTAAAATAAGCTGCGCGTGTATTCATTGTTGTTGGAATTTTTGCGCAAGATTTCCATCCATTTGCATTTGCCTTTGCCAGTTACCTGAATTTTTATGGCTGTAGGGGGGAAAAAAAATTACTAACCGTTTTTTAAATTTTAAATAGTTTAAAAAGCGCCGTCTAGCGTATTATTCGGAAACTAGATATCAGACGGAGTTGCCAACTACTGACAATGAACTCAGCCTCATGGTTCGCGTCTTGACTTAATTCATACAAAATAAAGTGCTTCGCTGCTACCAGTAGTTATTTTAAACTATAAACATAATATTTAGTTTGAAGTTTTATATTTTTAATTAAAATTGTATATTCTAAAATCGATGTTTATTCAATGCAACAATTGGTAGTGCTTTTAGTTATAGAATTTTAATTTCTGCAACTGTAATCGCTAAGGCGTAGCTGTCCACAAAATATCGATAACCTTCTGTATGTCTTTCAAAATACCAGAGTTGCCACGTGATTGCTGAACAGAAAACACGATTTTCTTCGGGCATTGGAAAAAATATATAAAGGCATTTAATTTTATTATCTGAACTTAGACAGGCAAGTAAATCTAATAAACTAATCTATAAACTACTTCGGTCATTTTACTGCAACACAGGCAAATGTATATTATTGTGTTATGGGCGAGCCGCAAATATTGTCATGCGTTTCTCTTTTTCTTTCTTTTTTTCGCACTTCAGGACGCCAGCCAGGGAAAATTGTAATGGAGTAGAAATTGCGTCTGTCCGCTGAAAATATGAATGCCAATTATATATCACGCGCACTCTGCTATCATGGCCAGCCATTGCAGAAAATCTGGGACGATGAGCGCGGCATTGAAGACCTGCGCCGCCTAAATCTGACGCAGCCCAACTACAGTGTGTACCAGGAGCGGCAGAAGTATTTTACATTTCAGGAGCGGGCCAAACGCTTGAAGATTCATCAGTTTCTGGCACGTAAAGCATTGGATTTGTATGACCGGCAGTTGGTGGGCAATGTGATGGAGGAATCGTGGCTAACACAAATGAGCAACTGCATCGCACAGCAGCCACCGCTTGAGTTTTATTTAAATGTAAAGGACAAACGCAAGGCCTGGGCATATCGCATAGGTGCACTCAAGCAAGGCGACATCGTGTTTGCCTCTGTGCAAAAGGTTATGGCCAATGCGAACCGTATAATGGTCAAGCCCTTGTGCACAGGAGAACCTTTGCACTTCTATCTGGCCGATATGCCCATTAAGGTTGGTTATCAATATCTCGGTCCCTTCTACAACTTAAATTAATTATTAATATTATATATTTTTTCAGGCCATCGTTATGCAGGACCATTGGGGTCCACTACCGCTGGACAAACAGGGCAATCCCCGGTCATTTGCAATAAATGATTTCATACGCTGTGAAGTGTGCAACGTATCTGCGGATGTGGAGCGTTTGACTTTGGGCATGTTGGGTGTGTACAATAAAACGGCCGATCTGAAACTGGGCCTATGCGATCTCTCGGCTCTTCCTAATTACTATCGGTATGTGGATTGGTCACGAGCAAAAGAATATTTCCATTAAATCAAATATGCGCTTAGTCAAATACATAACCAGGAGCCATCGAGTGCGCCACATTATGAGGATCAGTTGAATGCAGCGCTGGAATTTGAGAATCCCAACTATGATGTGCTATTTCAGCTCAATGGACTGCAGCCCAACGAGAATCTAACATTGATGAGCAGCATCAAAGTGGGCTTTCCCGAGGCTGAATATGCTCTGGAGCTGCGCCAGAAACAGGCCTCACAATGGGCATTTCGGTAAGTGTTATAATTTCAAATCACGGCTGGTCGCAAAGCGCGCTGATAAGCAAGGTTATACAGACACTATTTTGAGTAGTTCACTGATAATGCGAGCAGCAGCGAACAGCCGTGAGTTGAAGCATTTTAGTTGCTAAAACATGCATCAAAATATGTATGTATAATTGTCCATATATCCATTGCATACACCCACACACGTACGCAAAATAATTCTTAAATCAGCTCCGTAGCTGATGGCATTGAGCACTTTAAGAATGGCCAACAAGTTGAGGCCTTTCAATGCCTAAACAAGGCCCTAAACATTGATCCGCGCAATGTCGAGGGTTTGGTGGCGCGCGGTGCGCTATACGCGAATCGGGGCAGTTTCTTGAAGGGTCTGAAAGACTTTGAAAAGGCGCTAATGTTGAATAAGTACCATGTGAATGCGCGTAAATATATGGGCGAAACCCTGGTGGCACTCGGACGCAGCTATGAGGAGGAGAATCGCATTCCGGATGCTATCAAGGCCTACAGCGATTGCTTGAACCTATTGCCACAGCATGAACAGGCACGCATCTCGCTGGATGCACTGCAGCAACAGCGATCAACTGCACTTGGCTCCAGTTCCAATCTCAGGCCCATACAGCATGGCGCTGAGCTGCTCAATTTGCCCAACGCGGCTGGCACTGCCATCACCATTGGCTCCTCGGACGAGTCCAGCTCATCAAGTGCCAGTGACAACGACAATGACAGCGAGGAGCAGCGTAAGTGTCAGCCAAAGGCATGACTGAATTTACCACAACCAACCTATTGTATATTTTAGCCGGAAAATCGCGCTCCAGGGACGTTCATTTGCCCATAGAGCGGAACAAGCACGCCGTTAGCGATGCCCTATCAGCTAATGAGTTCAAGCTGGACGATGATGAGACGATGAGCAGTGTCCGCCGGCTGTTGCGCGAGGCCAGCAAGCACAAAAAATCCAAAAAGCGAGGCAAAAAGAAGAAGGACAAGGATCGCAAGGATCTCAAGAAATCCAAATCAAAGTCGGCGGATGAAGTTGATGCAATGACAACAACAGAGGCTGCACTGGAAATGCTCAAGAAAATTGACTATGCGGAGGCGTTCAGGTAACTGCGTGTATCTCATGTTAAGCGGGTCAAAACCTTGATCATAAAAAGATGACTGGCAAACCTGTTGACTACTACCTTCATATATTGTATATTGGATTCCTGCATCGTTCATTAATCTGAACGGCTTTCTCCTTTGGATATGCATATATATATATTTTGGAGCGTCACAGTTAGTCACCTAACATTGCAATTTTCCTAGTTATGATCTGGGCCCATTGACCCGCTTTAAGTGCCCGCAATCGAATTGATTTTATCCTTGCGCTCATCTATGCATGAAGTATTAGCCGGAATAATAAGTATGCTAAGTGAGTGCTTGTCTTTTTTGTGCATATTTTACACGTTTCTTTTTTGCTAAAACCTTTGCAGGCTCATGAGCAGCAGCAGCAGTGATGCCCAGCTGAAAGCCCAGCTGCAAAACTATTTTAAGAGTAGGGAACGCTCGGAAACACCCCCGCCGCCACCACCGCCTGCACCCACCACAATGCGGAAGCATCCATCGGCAGTTGATTACAGTTTAATGATGGGACCAAGCACTTCGAAATATGCCGCCGCTGCGGCAAATGTGGATGATGAGCAGCCGCCGCCGGCGCCCAAGTTTCATATTCATCAGCATCAGCAACTGGAGCAACAACAGCAGAAGCTCTCATTTCAAATTAAGAAGCGTCCGCTGCAAATGGATAAATTTGGATTGCTGCGCTTAGCCACGCCACTCAGCTCGCATTCGCATAGTCGCAGCCGCAGTCGCTCGCCTAGACGACGCAGTCGAAGCCGCTCCCGCGACAGACGCTCATTGCGACGGCGCGGTGGCAGCTCGCGTTCTCGCAGCAGGAGCAGGAGCGGTCGCAGCCGTTCACGTTACTCAAGATCTAGAAGACGACGCACACCTAGCCGTAGCCGTAGTCGTAGAAGCAGTCGCAGTCGTAGTTACTCGCCTTCACGTTATGGAGGAGGCAGATCACGCTTTAGAGGGGGGCGTGGGTATAAGCAACACTTTGGAAATCGCCGTACCCGCTCACGTTCCTTTGGCCGAGGGCGTCGCACGCCGTCGCCGTTTGTGCCTCGACGCACACCCTCGCCATTTGTAGCCCGACGCACACCCTCCCCGTTTGTGCCTCGACGGACCCCCTCGCCGGCCACTCGCTATCGACGCACTCGCTCACGTTCACGCAGCTTTAGTCCTGGGCGACATCATACGAAACGATTCACGCCGCGCGGACGTGGACGCGGTCGTGGACGGTTTCAGAATCGTTGGAACTTTGACAGCCGTCATAATGGCAGGCGTTCGGGTCCCGAGCGGAGCGTGAGCCCTCCTGGTGATGGACCCACCATCGAAGAGGTGGACGAAATGATCAAAGAGGCACAAAAGGAGCGCAAGCAAGGCATCATTGAGAGCGACAAGGATATACTTAAAAAGAAAGCAACAAACGCTACCAGTGACAGCGGTTAGAATTTAAGTATAGGCACATACAGTGTTAAGTTTCCCTTTATACGTAGTTCTATGTATACTTGATAACCACTCAAAATGTAATTAATATCTGATAGCCCCCATTAACACAAACATGGACACCAAAATAAAGATGCTTAAGAAGCAATTTGCATGATCTGCATGCATTACAGATAAAGAAGAAATCTTTTCATAATCTCCAATAAATGTAAATAAACTTTTTGAAAATTCTTGAGAATATATATCTTACGCCAGATATAAAAACAAAAAATAATTGTTTGCAACTTTTAACGGGTTTCAAGTGATAATCTTTATATCAGCAAAGGTAAGCAACATTATATAAACGAAAAAAAACAATTTTAATTTAAAAGTTTTTATTGAATGCACAGCCATCTAAGTTTTCTCTAAACCAAATAATAAAATAAGATATTTTTCAGAATACATACAGCACTGGACGCTCGGACATTAAAATTGCCAGAATTTAGACTTGTCCAGAAATTAAAAACTGAATTTTCAATGCCTTAAAATTACAATTTTATTTTTGACAGCATTTTCGTTGTTATTTATTTTGTTATTAAACACTTTTTTTCAATTAATATAATTAAATTTTTTTTTAACTGTACGCTGTTTTTTTTTTTATATGTACAAAAACGGGGGACGAGAAATTGAAATTAACACTGGAACAGACGATTTCCAATTTGCGAGCGTCCATTGTATTGAAATCCTTAATATAATCGATCATTTTGGTATCGAACGTAAAACAGTTCGCATGTAATTACAAAGTACACCTATATATACCCCTTTCGGCATTGGTTTTCAGGGTATATCCCAGAATCGCTACCGATATCAACAGTTGATTCGTTTTTCCTAGCCAGTTGCTTCCGTACTGCATGTACAGATGTATATATTTCTATTTATTCCGAAACGCGTGCTACGTTCCTCTCACGAATAGTTACAAACACAACAAACAAATCGAGATTGCGCAAACCGGCTATTCACAATAGTGGAAGCTCTCTTACCCATACACACAGCGCCCACACAAAACAAAGAGAGCGGGAGAGTGCTTACAGCTGTATTTGTGCGGCACAGTTGGTGCTGAAAATCGTACGAGTCTGGACGCTAAACGAAGTTCAAACTGAGTCCGAGATAAAGCGTGTTACCCCCGTCCACATTCAGTTGATATTTGCCTGCCGGCAGCAGCAGAAGCAGCTTTTGGAGCCCACATCAGGGGGGAATATGTGCGTCTGATTGTGTGCCTACGTTTCTGTGTGTGTGTATTTGCATGTATTTGTTCGCGCACAAGACTTTGATTTAGAATAATAAACGCGACAAGTTATTGTAATTAGTACGTGAGCTTAAATTATAATCGAATAAACACGCGTCACAGGTAGCAAAATATATTTAGCGATTATTATATCACAATAAATATAAAAAGAATAATTGGGTAAGTAAGATACGAAAGCATCGTTATGTTGGCACTGCAAATTTACATAAGCGCTGCATTCGTTCAATACGAACAACGGGAGCAGTAAACTACGCAATGCAAGAAAATTGCGAATGCAAAAGAAAAGTGCAGAAAAAAACAACACGCGGCGACATTGGCTTTTGTTTGGACTTTGAACGATAATAGCGCACCCACCACAACAACAACTAAACACAACAATAAACACAGCAATAACTACACAAAGACAAAGAACTTGAAAAAAACCATGCTTGTGGTTGTTGTTTTGGCTGCGCTACATTGTTGTTGCCATGTTGAGTTTATGTCCATTCAAAGGCCATGTGTCTTAACAGGCGTGAATGAAAATAAAGATTACCACAGTTACGATTTATAATCGCTTGTTAGTCAAAAATAATTAAGCGTTATCTAGAAGCTAAAAGTATATTTACATTAAATATTGGAGGCAGCTAATTTAGCAGAACAATTAACCTGAAAAATTAACGAAAAACTTTATACATAAATATTTTCCTTATGTATCACTTTTGAGACATTTTTACGTTTTTGAAAGGGAGTTTCAGCTAGCATTAAGCATGTGTTGATATTCTTTGTACATATCGGTTATAACTACATTTTCAATAAATGCCTTAGCAACAGAAAAGAAAATAATTTGAGACTCTTAGCCTGTTATCAAAATAGACAAATAATCACAAAACTTAACTCGTATTTCTTTTCATATCTCTTGCAGCGCAAATTCAACAAAAATACCATATAATCAAAATGTATACGAAAATCTTTCGTGCTGTGATAATCGGAGCTCCTGGCTCAGGAAAAGGCACCATATCGGATCGCATTGTCAAGACCTTTGGCTTTCTGCACATCTCCTCGGGCGATATTCTCCGCCAAAATATTATCAACAACACGGATTTGGGCAAAAAGGCACAACGGTATATTGCCTCCGGCCAACTGGTGCCCGATGAGATAGTGACTAAGACAATGCTTGCCCGCATCACAGAGGTTGGCAACAAGTCCTACATTCTGGATGGTTTTCCGCGCAACAGTGCCCAAGCGGACATTTTGTCGGCGCGTGAGCAAATCGATGCTGTTATCAATTTAGACATTCCACATGATGTGATCATCGAGCGTGTTAAACATCGCTGGATACACGCACCATCCGGACGTGTGTACAATATCGGCTTCAATGATCCTCAGGTGGCCGGCAAAGATGATGTGACGGGCGAGCAGCTGACCCAACGCGAGGATGACAAGCCTGAGGTGGTCTCCAAACGTTTGCAGCTCTACGATGAGCTGATGGGCCCAGTGTTGGCCTGGTATGCGAAACGTGGTCTGGTAACCAGTTTCAAAGGTCGCGAAACCAAAGAAATTTGGCCTCGTGTCGAGCGCTTTCTTAAGGACAAAGTCAACAAGGGTTAAGAGGGTGGTATTGTGGCAAACAGAGAAAAACAGTTCAATTTTGTGCACAAATTTTTGTTTCTTATTTATAGGCAGCTGTTGCTAACGAGGAGTAAGATGTGTTCAATTAAGGCCTACATATATATTAGATATATATTATGCGCAGTGGGGTGGGTCTAAAAGGGGGGTTCATTGTAACTAATTAATCGTAATTGCGAAGCCTTATAAACTACAAACGAATCAAAAGAGTAAAAAGTGTCCAAATGTATTTGTCTTTTGCCATACATGTCTATACACTGATAATGTGCTACAACCATCAAAAACATTCCCCTAATAAAAATGTTTTATTTTGATATGAATATTATATATATATATATATATGTACTTGTATAAAGCTTCCAAATAGGTGCTTAGATAATAAATAGTTTTTTTTATGTTTTATATTGCTTATTGATAACGAACTTGCTGATTTTAACATGGAGCCGTAAGAGATATGGCGAAAACCATATTAGGGCTACGTAACACAAACACTTGATGTAGAACACCAGCTTGTACGCTTTATGGCTTCCCATATGCGGCAACCTCATATGCCCTGCTTGTTGGTGTGTAGGGCACGACAGCTGTGCAGTGTGGCGCTCCCGAAGTTCTCTCTCACGCACACTAACAAAAAATCGTCTAGTCAAATAGAATTAATGATAATGAAGTTTAGTAAACAGAAGGACGCCACATTGTTCTTTCTTTCATTCTCTTTCTGTATGCGTTTTAACTTACAGCAACTACGATATGCACGTGTTTATTTTGATTTTGAAACTTTGTAAGTGTAAGCAAAGGAATGCAGTGTAGCAACTAATAAAACTGATGACAATAAATACGAAATTTATACTTATTTAATAACCGACTGCTTTTTCAGCTGTAGTATAAAACAGCTGCTAAATATTGTGCATTGATAATAAACCTATTTATTTTAATATAAGTTATGACTTATATGAATTGTAACAACAATAGTTTATTTTAATATTTATTGTTGTATATCGCGTGTTAAAAAGAATGATGATCGAGTCTTTCAAATTATTAAAATATATTCTATTGACATTGTCAATTGACATTAATAGCGAGAGCGATGCAGTACGTGTTCACTATTTTCTAGCCACTACTGTATTGAGAGCGAAGCTCTCTTTGTGCTTCAGCCATTATTACGGCATTTTTAGTACATACACACGCACATACCGAGGGAATACTCGTACTCGCACTCGCACACTACACCTGCACCCTGCTCGCCGCTATCTAACTGAACCCGCGCGTAGTATTTCCTGAATCAAATGACCCCACAAAAAAGAAGAGCAATTACCGAATGCAGGCAATTGAGCACTTATCGATGAACAATACCAAATTTAAAGAATGCAGAATCGGAATCTCGCACAAGCCAAGAGAAACTAAACGTAAAAAAATGGCTACGGCTGCAGAGCTTTGTTTGTACTGTTGTTGTTGTTAAACATCTCCTTTGTTTATGCCAATGCGGCCATAACGAAACCACGATGACAATGGGTACAACAAAATCAGAAAACTTCACTACTGACCGCAAATTGTGGTCTGGCAGGGCCTGACTCACTCATGATGCAAGCTCCGGTTGTGAAATAACAAATAATAACAATAATAATTAAAAATTTACCTCTTATTTTGGTACGCTTGTTGAGATTCATCCAAATCTCGCCGCGTATGACCTGCCCGGCATAGAAAATGCGTTCTGGATTGTCCAGTCGAATGCATAGTCGTTCGCTTTCCATGCTGCTGCTCTCATTAAATACTCATCCAAAAATAACATATAAAACGCCACATTTGAGCGGCCGCTTTGGTATCACTGTGCAGAAATACAACTACAACTTCGCACACTTTTAATCAACTAGAGCATGAATTGAGCCGTACACTATAACTGATAATATGTAGCGGGATGTTAATTACATTTGCGCGCACTCAGGTCTTTTTAAATTACATTAACTACGGCAAATATTTTTAATAATTAATGAAAAGTAACTAGAAACGTTGTTGCTTTTGTTTTAGCTTGCCACACGATAACGATAAACGATAACTTTTACAAATCAGCTGGCGCTAAACATAAAACGGTGTTGCCACCTTGCTTGCAGTTGACGCGCTGAAAGTTTACATTTAAAAATGCGATAAGCAGCACAGTATTCAGAAGAAATATTTTGTTGCTATATTTTCCACAATACCAAATAAAAATATCAATTGTTTGCAGGGCTGTATTTTTGTAAGCAGGTTCTTCCCCGATTATTCGACAAGAAGAAGAATCCACGCACAGAAACAGAGCGCATTGCCGAAGAGCATATGATAATTTATTAATCGGATTCTGCTTCAGTATTAATTTGTAGCTTGTCGCGTTCAGTGGTTGTGGCCGCATGAGTTGGTCGTTGTGTCCTCACCTCGTGTGTGTTCCGCGTTGCTTGCCACAGTCAATACAAACAAACATACCACCATTTTAAGCACATATCCTGACACTGCCTGTCACCAAGGTCCATATATCTATATACGTATATCTACACAGCCCAATAACGTCCCAAAGGATGAGCAGCAAGGTGAATTTTAGCTTCGATAGTATCTTGGGCGTCTACTATGCTGGCCAGGTAGTATCCGGCACAGCAGAGCTTATCACAGAGCGCCCAAAAACCATACGCTGTAAGTGTGTAGCCCAAGACGTAAATAATATTTCGTTGTGCTTGTGGATGGCATGACGTCATTGTGCTCCCTTCCTCATCCAATTCCATTGCGCATACAAATTCTCTTGGCTTGGGGCAGACGCTTATTAGTATTCAAGCCGTCATTGTTGTTGTTGTTGTTGTTGTTGTCATTGTTGCTGCTGCTGTTATGTATTTCTTTTGTTATTGTGCCGGTGGCTAATGCTCATATATATATATGTATGTTAATATGCCTATACACACATACATATATTCGCTGTCGGCTATATGATATTGTAGCGAGAGTAAAAAACTAGTTTTTCTTCGAATTATACGGTTGCTATTTGTTATGAATATTAGGCATTAAAGTTAAGCTTGTGCTGTACTTTGATTTGTAAACGAACAATTTACTTTTCATTTTAAATTTTAAAATAAATAACATCAGCCTAAAGCTTGAGAACAACAACCAAATGCTTAGTTTTAGGTTCTAGTTTTTTTTTGTGGCAAGCTTAAATTAACTTGAAAAGACACAAAATTATGCTTCAAACTGGTTTTATAATGGGCCGCAAATAGAATATGATTCTATAAAAAGTCAGGGCCATGTCAAATAAATTCGAATTAAGAACAATTGAACTTGGCTGAAACGCAGCTTGATCCGTAGACTGCCCACATGGCATGCAGCTTAATAATATTACAATTAAATTAAGCCAATTACTCTCAAGCCCCCTTCTGCTCTCTCTTCCTGTTCCCATACAGCTATATATATAACCGTGAATGGTTTTGTGGAGACGCGCTGGCAGGAAAGCGTCGAAAAACCCGGTGCCGATGGCAAACTAGTTAAAACTCTAGAAACGCACACCGCCACTGAGATTTACTATAGCAGCGATAAGTATGTGTATGGACAGAGCGGTGGGTCGCAGCTTGAGCTGCCCCAGGGCAAGTATGTGTTCCCCTTTCAAACCACCATACCGCCCCAGGCGCCCACATCTTTTAACGGCACGCATGGACAGGTAAAGCACGAGGTGACCTTGACTATAGATCGAGCCGTGCGATATAATAATACATTCAAACAATGCTTTACGGTTATACTGCCGAACGATTTGAATGTGAAGCGGGAGCATTTGGTACGTCCAACGTCGGATTAAAAACAATATTTGAATATACTAATCATTACCTTCTGTTATGCTCAGCAACCCCTGAAGCGTATTGAGGAGAAAACCTTTTGGTGGGGCTCAATATTCGGCGGTAATAAGCCAATGGTCATGGATGTGAGCACCTCCTACGGCGCCTATGTGCCTGGCCAGAAAATACAGTTTCACATTGTGCTAGACAATCAGTCAGATGTGCAGTGCCAGGATGTGAAAGTGCGTCTGTTCAAGAATGTCACCTATCGCGGCAAAGCTGGTGATAAGGAGCAGCTTAAAGCTACAGAGGCGCGCATAGCCGATAAACACTGTGGTGAGGTGGACAAACATAATAAGGCGCAATTTGATGACTACCTACTGGTCCCACCCACAACACCAACAACACTGAGCGACCGAGATCCTATTCGGGTTAGCTACACGCTTCGTTTCATAGCCAAAACATTCCGTTTGCATGGCGGCGGGGATTTGGTGGTAGAGTTTCCACTGGTCATTGGCACAGTGCCATTGCTGGGCAGCGCTGACGATAAGGGTCCCGGGCAGAAGCTGCAGGCACCGAGCACAAATGGCAGCTATCAAGCTTTGCGTAAGCGGCATCTAACTTATATATTAGCCTGTGTTTAGGGAATTTTTCTATCCCCGCAGCTCCACCGAATTTTCAAGAGGATGTGTGCACTGAACACTTTGAGTCCAACACGTTTAAGCCACGTTATCCGGTTTACTTGTTTAATGGCCAGCCTGTAAGCGCCAATGGTGCCAAATCACCTGTACCCAGTCTTTATCCGAAAGCCGAGGACACATCGCCAGCAGCTCCAGTGCATTACACACCAAATCCAATTTCGCCAGTAGCAAAACCGACGACTGTTCCAGCTCACAAGACGCCACCGTATCCTGTGCAAACGCACGCAGCTGTACCTGCTGGTGGAAACAGTTTTGAAGTGCTCGGCTTTAGCATACCCCCGGGCTATCAGCCCTCGCCGAGTGCACCTTCTGATGCCTCTGGCAATATAGGCTGGAAATAGTTATATATATTTTGTATTCTATATTATTTTGTTTAAGCACTTTTGATAGAGTTCGAATTAATATTGTCGCGCGCACGCCCGGTGGCAACGCCAATATAAATATATCGATATATCGTTAAAAAAGCACAGACTGTATAAGTTTTTCAGCTGGTGCGCACAGCAACAGCTGTTTCGGGAATGCACTTGACGTAACTTAAGGCCAAGTTTTGTTTTCAATTTGTTTTGTTATAGCCGAAAATAGTTTCAAAACCGGTTTTTAAAGTCTTTCGCATAAACTGCAGCAACATACAGTTATTACACACACACACACACAGTCGCTGGGCAAAAGAAAGTTTTGACGCAATCGCATGGCCGTTACTTGTAATTTGTAATGAAGAAGCGTCGTGGTCGTGCGGCCGCGCAGCTAAACAGTTAGCACTGCACTCTGGCAGCGAACAGTCGAATTTATTGACGAACGACTTTTGTGGATATTTGGCATATTTTTAAGGTGAGGCATTCCGTTTGTTATGCATACCAAATGCAACGGCTTTATCTATGTTTTGCCAGCAGCATCAGCCCTGCCAACCAGACAACAAAACAACAACAAAAGTGAAATCGCCGATAAGACGCCCCCATCCCTGAATGAATGAATTTGTGAATTAAGTCTGATTGAAGACTATGTCAAAATTGGCGCGCATGCGACCATAGCGAAACCAAAAGGAAAAAAGAAACCACAACACCAGGCATACGAGGTGCCTAGTGAAACAAACGACTGACACGCGCTCCACTGGGCATGACACCTTGTAAGTTCGGCTGCGATCTTCATCTCATCGCATCGTTTTTTCACACATTAATTTGGCAATCACTTGATGACTATGCAAACAATTTGATGCGAGACCAGGGCGCACCTTGAATAGTATTTCAGTAGAGCGACAACGGAAGAGTTGAAAACTATTTTGTTTGTCTAACAGCAAATTAATGCCGCTGTTGTTGTTTATATGATTTACAGAAATGCCATTGAAGACGCAGCCGCAGCAATAAAAGTGAAATCAGCACGAAAACCCGCACGCACAGCCACACCAAAAGAGCCATTGACATCGATACAGTTAGTTGAAAAGACAGCAAGCAATATGACGCCGGCGGTAACTAGCAGTAATGGGACCGTATCAGCGTGTGCCTCGCCCACATCCACACCGGTCAGTCAACGTCGCAAACACAGCGCACGTGAGCAACTGCAGCAAATTGTTGCCGGTGGCATGGCGGCCGCTATTACACGTTCCACCTGTCAGCCCCTGGATGTGCTCAAGATACGCTTTCAGCTGCAGGTGGAACCATTCAGGACAACAGAACATAACTTAGTCCTACCAAGCAACCAATCCGATATGCGATTACAGTCTTCTAAATACACGTCTATTATTCAAGCTGTGCGCACCATTTATCGCGAGGAGGGCCTGTTGGCCTTCTGGAAAGGTCACAATCCTGCCCAGGTGTTGAGCATTATGTACGGCATCTGTCAGTTCTGGACATACGAGCAGCTTAGCTTGGTAGCCAAACAAACCAACTACCTCAAGGATCACCCACATCTTTCAAATTTCATGTGCGGCGCTGCAGCGGGCGCTGCAGCAGTGATCATTTCCACACCTTTAGATGTTATACGCACACGCCTGATTGCCCAAGACACTAGCAAAGGATATCGGTAACATACAGCACATTAATTAATCTAAACCTACATTTCTAATAAATCATCAATTCGTTTACAGCAATGCAACACGTGCCATCACGGATATTATGCGGCAGGAGGGACCACGTGGAATGTACCGCGGCTTGTCCTCGGCCCTGTTGCAAATTGCGCCCTTGATGGGCACCAACTTTATGGCCTATCGTTTGTTCAGCGAATCGGCATGCACTTTCTTTGAGGTGGACGACCGTAGCAATCTGCCTACTTGGACGCTTTTGGTGCTAGGCGCCTCGTCGGGCATGTTGTCCAAGACAATTGTGTATCCGTTTGATTTAATCAAGAAGCGTCTGCAAATCCAGGGCTTTGAGCAAAATCGCCAAACATTCGGACGTACCCTTCAATGCAATGGTGTTTGGGATTGTCTTCAGTTAACGGTGCGGCAGGAGGGCGTATGGGGTCTGTACAAGGGCGTTGCTCCCACGCTGCTCAAGTCAAGCCTGACAACGGCCTTGTATTTTAGCATTTACGACAAGCTTAAGCAGGTGCGCTTCTGGTAGGCGCCGCAACAGTTTTCTATTTAGCACTTAAGTAGTGAAAAAGTTCACAGCACAGAATCTATTTTTGTATGCAATTTACAATTTACTCTGTAAATGATACCAACCATAGTTTCTCTGTTAATTAGTTATCGTTTTTAGTACGGGGTTGTTTTATGTTAAGAAGTATCTGATTAAACCATGCGCCAACCTATAAACTATATGCACAAATGCATAGACGATACAGAAATGCCACTGTTGTTAAGTTTTATTTATCCAGTTCTGGGCTGTGGACATATAAATGCCGCAATTTTTACTTATTTTTTTTCGCTATATACATTCCACACATTATTATTAAAAATGTTTAATGTATGGAATATATGAATGAGCGGCCGACGGTATCATGATATCTGACTAATTTCAAAGTGGTTTGTGTACAAATGTTGACAATCGGCTTAGCCCAAAATAAAACTAGCATAATGTTAGGTATATTTTTTTATATTTTATATTCTACCGATATTTTAAGTTATCTGTACATATAAAAAGGTATGTCTAATCTAATTGCTGATCAAGCGGAAAAAGCTGGGAAGCCGAAATTTGTACAGAAGTTTCTCTTTGTGTATGCAAAACATCTGAAGCAACGCAGCCACATAAATTGAGCTTTTCAAAGGTGAAGGCATGAGCCTGTGCAACTAAGGTGTCTGGTCAAGGGTCTGAGCGTCGGAATAACAAGCGAGAGGTCGCCGGTTCAATACCAGGGTATTTTTAAACTATTATATAAGCAAAACAAAAAAGGTGAACGCATAGTTGCATTGTGCAAATGGATATAAATATATGAAAACTAACCTTTTTCAATATGTTATTATTAATAAACTTTAATTGTGCACAAGTAAACAAGTGGTTTTACTGATGTGAAAAGCGAGCAATTGGGTTGAATTCTTAATTATTTTGCGTTTTCAGCCATTTTTTATACAAACATCAAAGAAACATGAATTGTATAGGGTATTTATTATTTGGCATGCCTCACTAAGCATGGTATTTATGTTTTAACTTGGTCCCACTGTTTAGTGAGCTTTTACTACCGATTGTTGTGAAATTGAAAGATTCGTATTTTTTAACAGCTTCACTTCATTCAGTTTTTTATACCCTTGCAGAGAGTATTATAATTTTGTCGTGAAATGTGTAACGCATAGAAGGAGACATATCCGACCCCTTAAAGTATATACATTCTTGATCAGTATCAACAGCCGAGTCGATATAGCCATCTCCGTCTGTCTGTTTCTATGCGAACTAGTCTCTAGTCTCTAGTCTCTCAGTTTTAAATCTATCTTTATGAAACTTTGCAGAAGTGCCTCATTCTGTTGCACGCAGTACATATGTCGGAGCCAGATGGATCGGACCACTATATCATATAGCTGCCATAGGAACAATCAGTCGAAAATTAGGTTCTTGTATGAAAAACTTTTTTTTTATTTAGATATCTTGACCAAACTCAGGATTTAATAGTTTTACTATACTCCTCATCAATCATGCAAAATCCTATCAACATCGGACCACTATATTATATAGCTGCCATAGGAACGATTGCTCGAAAATTAAGTTGTTGGATGGAAAACTTTTTTGTTTTTCAAGATATCTTCACCATACTTGGCATTAACTATTTTCCCTGTGCTTGTTAGATACGGGCAAAGCACTATGAGCATTATGAAAGGGTATTAAATCTTTGGAGTGCCGAAGAGCCTTCTTTCTTCTTTTGTTAACTTAGCAAAGAGAACAAGTAACAGGTTCTAGTCGGGAGCTCCCGACTAGGGGGTACCCTGAACCCTCTTCTTCCAACACCAAATGCAGCTCGCGCTACGCGCTCGTTTGATTTAGTAGTAATAAAGAAAAATGAAAATTAAAAAAAAAAGTTTCCGTTGGCAGGGTTCGAACTCGCAACTAGCCGCACTTACCGCTGCCTCTACTCAAGGGCCACACCAACAATTGAGCTTTGATGCGAAAAAACCAATTAAAATAGCAGCACAGAAAACAATACAATCGCAATTGCAATGCTGTTGATAGAATTTAAAGCGAACACGCATGAATGTGTGTGTGTACATGTATACAGAAATTTTTGGAATTTGCGCAGCAGCTATGCTGCTAACACGTGCGCACATAACTTTTGTGTTTCTTAACCGATCTTAATGAAATTTTCGACAGTACATCTTATTGTAGAATAGAATAAAGAATATTTTTGTATTCTCAAAAATTCAATTACATATAAATTGTGGCTTTAATTGATGGGCAATACAAGTTGGATAATAAATTTGATTTATAGCTTTTCGGGGGTAGCGGGGAGGTGGCGATAGGTATAAAATGAAAGATACTTGATATGTAAATACTATTCTAGAAACTACATGTCAAGTTTGGTGACTCTGGCTCAAATAATTTGCCGAAATTGCTCAAAAAACAGGATTTCGATATCGATTTTGATCGATTACTTGGAAACGGGGCAAGTTATCGAATATCGGACACTCGATCTGCGCGGGCATTAAGAGGACCTACATCTAAAATTTCAAGTCTCTAGCTCTTATAGGTTCTGATATCCTTGCGTTCATACATACGGACGGACAGACAGACAGACGGACTAGATCGACTCGGCTATTGATGCTGATCAAGAATATATATAATTTATGGGGTCGGAGATGCTTCCTTCTGCCTGTTACCACTAACCATACAATGCATAGACTTGTCAAACGTCAAAATAATCGGATACCGATAAATCGTCAACGACTGAGCCCCATGGGTGTCCACGACCATTTTAGTGTGCCCAGACAAAGTAAGACTGCTGAGAGTGGCAGCCGAACGCCGGCCTCGAAAGCCGAGCGTTCAGTATGAAGCCGCATCTCACTCAGCGCATATCGTCGCTGCGGCTGATGCCTTTTCATAATATATGTATGTTAGTTTTTAATTCCTTACATCCCAAAAACATACATGTATGTATGCATGTGCAGAGTGTGCCTCGCTCTCACTTATTGATTTGCGCACTTGTGTGCATCTCCTTCTCCCTGCATAGCTTCTCAAAAACCCCGAGATCTACAAACATACATATGTTTGTGTTGTGTGGATGTGCGCACAAGTAGATCGCGGCGTTTGTCGCGAGCCAGAGATTTTTTCTTCAATTGTGTGCCCTTTGTGCCTGTGGAGGCAAAAGGCACACACATTCAAATGCTCTATCATGTATTTCTTCGTCCAGTCAGGCATAATGAGAAGAATCTGATATATTTATATTCATTAAAAACTTAAATGACCTAAATGATATATTTATATATTATATTTTAATTTTTTTGTTAACTGTGGGGACCAATTTTGCTTAAAATTAAAAAAAAAACTAAATCGTATTTCTGCAAGGGTAATTCTTTGTCGGCTTGTCGAATAATTTAAGAAAAGACCAAACATTGAAAATGTTCAATTTTTTCGACTTGCTACTTGTGCACACGCACACTCTTTCGAGTAAGCAGTTGGGTGACATTATTAAAGGGTTTGGCCTGTGTTCATGTGCAAAACTCCTATTTTCCATGCTTGTTGTAAGGGTAAGGGTACCTGAACGTTGGCATGTGTGCATAATAACTTTTTGAGCCTGCCAAGCACACATACTTATGAGTATTAATGTAAAATATATAAAATCTATAAGTGCCCTTTATTAGTCACTAAGAGTGGAGGATTTTGGTTTCTATCGCGCGGATGTTCCACCCCGACTCTAAGGCATAGATCAAGATAATCACATATACCATATACTATGCAAATGCTATTAAGCTACCAATATCTTAAGCATTTCTGTGAGATGCTGATTCAGGGCAAACTATATCAGGCTGTTGTATTAAGCCCCAGTTCTGTTTTAGATTGGCCACAACAGAATTTTTATCACCTAAAAGAACAGAGTAGCGAGTATTTTTTTTTATAATGTTCTACGATCCCGCCTGCTATAACTGGACTTTGCAACTGGGCTAGCTACGAGCTAGGATGTACTCGTAGTGATCGTTAATAAAGCTCACAACTATTTGGGCATAGATGGCAAAGACACAACTGCCCCTGGACAGTTTTGAAGGGGCTTTTGCGTTTGCGACGAATCACCCAGATGGCTGGGAGGCTAAGTTTATGGACAGACCGAAAAACATGCAGGATTACCTGCGACACATTGCCCAGGGCAGAAAACCGGAATTAAGGGAATACGATGCGTTGGGCGAGCGAAGTGTTCCGGAAAAGACGCTCGACGAAATACGCTATTAATACGAACCGCTGATATAAATGCAATAAATATAAATATGTTCCACAGCGGATTTCTTTTAAGCATTTATAATCAACCATTTAACTTATTGTCTTTTTAATATTAACTCTTTTACTATACAAGAGTTACGAATAGAATATCGGCTTTATACCATAGAGATAACGAGAAAATACACATAAACATATGTGGTCTCTTTATATTAAGTAGAGATTGGTGGTAGGCACTCTTTATCGAATAGCAAAGCTTCGGTATATTGCATCAGATTATGTAAAAGCTTTAGAATGAGTCAAACCGTATATATTTTATTTAGCCTCCTCTACTTGGCCCCAGTTAGAGTTTGTGTTTCGCAGCTATCATGTCGAACACGTTGTATTATGTTGATGAGTATAATCGCCCGCCGCCAAATTACAACAGCTGGTTGTCACCACGACATGCAGAGCGATTAAAACGTCTTGGTAAGAAAAAATTAACATTCACGCTGAGATTGGAGAAGCGTCCAATGGTTATAGCGCTGCATATGTTTGCCGATGACTTGGATGGACTGAAGCATTGGCTAGATATGATCTATGAAGTGGCAGCTCTAGATTCATTTGGCAAGCAAATAGAATTTCTTGTGGATGATATTTGGGCAGCATACGTCTTTGATCTGTTCAACAAATACCCTTTTCGGCGAGATGATAGTAGCTTTTCTACGCAATCGCCTCCATTGATATTTGGGGTAAGTGCAGCTGGTGAAGTGCACTTTTTTGGTAGCGCCCATGGACCGAGCACGCCTAGTCTGGAAAGCCTTCATGTATTCTGCACTCAATTATTGGCAGATTCACTAGTCCAACAGTTTAGATTTGAGGATAAGCGACGAGTGCCTGATATGGAGTTGGCAAACTTCAATGATCTTATCTACGGGGAACAGCAGGCGGACATTCTTCTTGGGTTTTACAGCTCATATAAACTTGGAACGGCTGAAACCGAAAATTTTCTAGATAATCTAGCGCGACTGGCTGCCAGAATGCAACAGGAACAAGTAAATATATTCAAAATGAATATAGATACAAACAAGGTCCCCAAAAAGTTTAATTTCGAAACCACTCCTGCATTGTTTCTCCTACCACGATATGATAAACATAATCCCATACGCTGCTACCATACAAGTTTAGGCATTGGGAAAATGCTCCTACATGTTGCAGAGCATGCCGGGGAAGAACTTAATTTCTATGATCGACGCGCAATACGCAGGCTGCACGCAGATTTACTTAAGAAAATGAAAAACTATTTCAATGAAGAAAGCATGAAGTTATATCGTTATTATTATTAATATTAGCGGTAGTTACCAACGCCCTGACAAAAAGTATTACATTTTCTTGGTCAGAAGCAATAGTCAAACCGATTTAACCAGGTCAATCTGAATTATCACGTTTTTTTTAAAAAATTTAAAGAGCTAAAGGTTGAGATTTTGAGGATAAGCCGGATGTACGTATAGAAGATAAATGTTTGTGGCGGCATCAATGCATCAATGTAACTTTAACAGTAAATATTCGATAACACAATATCGATACATCGTTATGTTAAGACGGCCAACATGCAAAAATTGCAGCAATCAAAACAAAAAGAAAAACACGCGCTTTTACTTGATCATAGGCAACTTATAAATAAAGCCTACAGCTCTGCAGTGCCTAACAGTGATACATATGAACTAAAGTCGCAGTTGTTTCAATTTCAACCAAAAACAACGCAGCAGCCACAACAAAACCAAAGAAAACGCAAACGCAAATTGAGCGAAGCACCGAAGAATGCAGCAGTGGATAACATTAATGAGTACCTTGAGCTGTTGCCAAGAGCAGATGTGGGCACAGTGTCAACTCTCCCGCGCTTCTGGGAAGAGGACTACAAACTTCCCCAGCTGCATGGAGGCAATACGAGTGGTAAATTTCGAACGTTCCAAACTCCGACGAGCACTTTCATCATACCACACGCAGCCAGCTTTTACAACCACAATGTGGATCAGTTAAGGACGTTGCTGCCGCAGCTTCGGCCAAGCTATGATTTAATCGTGGTTGACCCACCTTGGCGTAACAAATATATACGCCGCCTGAAGCGCGTCAAGCAGGAGTTGGGCTATACCATGATGGATAACGACCAGCTAGCATTGCTGCCGCTTGGAAATCTCACGCATGAACGCACCTTGGTTGCGATTTGGTGCACGAACTCAAACCTGCATCAACAGACGCTGGAAACACAGCTTCTGCCCCGTTGGCAACTACGTTTGCTACATAAACTGCGGTGGTACAAGCTGAATACGGCGCATAAACTCATCAGCGACTTGAGCCAAGTGGATGCCACACAAAAGCAGCCCTATGAGGTGCTCTATTTGGCATGCCATGTCCAGAGCAATGGGGCATATGCCACAGACTTGAAACAAACAGAACTGCTGCTCAGCGTGCCTAGCATTGTGCACTCCCACAAACCGCCACTGCTGCACTGGCTGCGTCAATATTTGAAGCTGGAGAGAGATCAAGTGGAGCCCAACTGCTTAGAACTGTTTGCACGTTATTTGCAACCACAATTCACATCCATTGGCTTGGAAGTATTGAAGCTAATGGATGACCGCTTATACGATAAAAAAATAAAGATAAACTAACAAGGATAATTTTTGCCTGTTGATCTGTAACTATATACTCTAGAAGGTTTAAATTGTAGACAACCCTTTAACATGTAAACATTCTCATACCCATGAGTTATTTTTCAAGTAGGGTCTTTGCAGCGAGTTTTATTTTAAGCTTTCCATTTTAAATATACTGCTTACTCCGTATCTGCTGTACATATGCCGGGGTCACCCGAACATGACCGTTTTATCGTACATGGAACTACCGTAGCAACATTGGTCATAGTTCTTATACCCTGATAATGGGCAAAAAGGGTATATTTTTATATAAACTTTTTATGTTTTTCAAGATATACTAAACAAAATAAGCAATACCCAGCTTTTTTAATAATAGTTCCCGCGAATTTGTTGCGAATGCTTAGAGAATTAAGGTATTACATGAATAAATCGTGTTTTATTTTCGTATATATTTGTGTACTGTTAATGAGAGCAAATGCAACAAGAATTTTGTATGTGAGGGAGCTGGCGAAATGTTAGACATTTGTAGTGTGGTGTGTGTGTGTTTTGTTTTGGTGGTTTGTGTGTTAAATTAAGTATTAAGATATTAAGCATTATTAATACACATGTATTTGTTGTTGTTTGCCTACTCTTGGCCCTGAGCCATGGCTGCCGGGTTGGTTGGTTCGTTGCCGCCGCGCTTCTTCGATCCAGACACAATATCATCGATGCGCAGCAGCAGAATAGCTGTCTCCACAGCAGTTTTGTAGGTTTGCAGCTTGACGGCAAGCGGCTCCCAAATGTTCTTTACATTCATGTCGACAATTTCGCCAGATTCACCATCAATGCCCCAGGCACAGACGCCTGCGCCAGTGTGTGAAGCGTGCTTGGCACGTAGAGCGGTCAAGGCGCGTATGGTATTCGCGCCGCAGTTCTGAGCCAGTGTGCGTGGTATGATCTCCAGCGCGTGAGCCACGGCGGTGTAGGGTCCTTTGACCTGCTTGCGTGTCAGCAGCTGGGAGGCAGCCATTTCGATAGCGCCGCCGCCGGCCACAAGACGTGGCTCCAGCACAAGATTCCGTGCCACATGCAGGGCATCCTGGAGATTGCGCTCCGTTTCATTTAGTATGTCCTTACTGGCGCCACGCAGCAGTATGGTGCAGGCCTTGGGATCCTTGCACTGTGTGACAAACGTGAAATACTCGTCGCCTATTTTCTTGATCTCGAATAGTCCGGCACCAGTGCCCACATCCTTTTCTGTCAGCTCCTCAGTACGATTCACAATGGTAGCACCGCAGGCGCGTGCAATACGCAAATTGTCCGTTTTGCGCAAGCGTCGGATAGCGGTGATGCCCGCCTTAAGCAAATAATGCTGTGCTAGATCAGAGACACCCTTCTCGGTAAACACTAGATCCGGCTTGACTGCAATTATATCAGCGCAAACGCGCTGCACAAACTCCTCTTCAATTTGCAGCATGCGCGTAAAGTCCTGCTCGCCAATGATCTCAACATTTGTCTGGCTCTCGCCCTTTTTGTACTCCAAAGAGCAATCCAACAGCACAATGCGTGGATTCTCAATATAGCGACGCATTTTCGGATGCGTCACATCCTTGTTAAGCATAACGCCCTTCAGCACACATGATTCTTCAATAGCGCCACCGGGAATCTTCTCTACCTTAGCATAGCTATATATATTATAATATAAAGTTAATAATCAGACCGGATCCCCATTTATCAAACACCTACCGCTTAATATCCACCTCCAAGCGTCCATTCTCATTCAACGTAACAGTCTCAACAGCATCCAAAGCAATCTTGACAGCCATGTCAGACCACTTGCCAATGAATTTGGTGCCGACGCAGGCCTTTACCACGTCAGCCATTTTAGCCTTATCATTAACATCCAGCTGCACACTCAAATCGGTCTGCAAATGATTAACAGTATCCTCGAGGGCTTCCCGATAAGCCCGAATGATCACTGTCGGATGTATTTGCTGTTGCAAGAATGGCTCGGCAGCAGCAAGCATCTCGCCGGCCAGTACAATGACAGAGGTGGTGCCATCGCCAACTTCCTCGTCCTGTGTGCGTGCAATCTCAATCATGCTCTTGGCCGCCGGATGCTGCACAGTAATCTCTCGCAAAATCGCATTGCCATCGTTGGTCATCACAATGCCGCCCATTGGATCCATAAGCATTTTCAGCATGGCCTGGGGGCCCAAGCATGTGCGTATCACATCAGCAATAGCCTGAAAGGGACAATAATTTTACAATCTTGTAAACAGATGGTCACAATCGCACGAAAGACGCAAGAGACATGTGAGTCACAAGCGTTACACACACGCACACACTAGCGCATTCACACGCACACACACACATACCTTTCCGGCTTGGATGTTTTCCAACTGCACTTTGCGGCCCGATTCTCTTTTTGTGTTTTGACCTACACGATAAGAATAAGTTGATAAATTGTCTCACATCAATGAAAATTTAGTACTTACTCAACACGAGTATTGGTTGTTGTCCACCAAACATATTTATAGCTGTTTTTAATTAATTTCTATGCGAAAATAAAAGAACTCGTGCCTCGCGTTCCGCAGTTGCCGCTGTTTGAAAGAGAATGAGTGACGTTTGTTTTTGAGGTTAGAAACGCTGACACACGATTCGAGAAGATTCGATAACATAAATTATTATTGCCAATTAATTTGAGCGCTTACTTTATAATTGTTGTTATTGAAATTACCCACGCAAATACTGTATATTATAAATAATAAATGCTATAAATTATAATTTATTTAATTTGGCAACGCATTCGAAAATGATCAAACTCGATATCGGTAATGAACCGATAACCTTACGCGCTCTGGCAACACCCTGATCACAGCTGTTGCGGTTTTGTTTATAAACGTTTTCTAGCGGCATTTTTGTCAAAAACAGCCCAATGGATACCAAAAAGATATCTTTTGGCTTTAGCAAGGTGGCCAAGAAGCCAAATATATTGCCCAGCAAAGTGCAAAAAGAAGAAAACAAAGTTGAGCTTATAAAATGCCTCGAAGGCAAGGAAATAAGACTGGTCACGTAAGTTAACACTTTCCCTAAAACAATGACAAGCTAATTCTATTTTCTATGCTACTAGTGAAAAACAAGAAACTGCGCCACTGGTCATACAACTGCCAACTAGTCAGAAAACATCCACAGCGCTGGCAAGTCTAATGAAAAGACGCGCTGTGCTGCTGGGCGAAGATGATGTAGAGCCCGAGGAATCCACAATCGAGCCCCAATCCATAGCAGAAGTAACAGTTAATAGTGAAAGAGCAAACTTAGAACAACGCGCCGCACGTGAGCTAATCGCCGCCGCACTCGCCAACGGCAATGAAATTGTGGATGGTGAAATGCTTGTGTTGCCGGCGCTGAAAGCTGATGAGCTTCCGCTGGACGGTGCCAAGGAGGCAACCTTGGATGACTATGACTCAATACCTATAGATAAGTTTGGTCTTGCAATGCTGCGTGGCATGGGATGGGTGGATCCGCCGCCCAAAAAAAAGGGAGCTGCTCCAGTGGACGAGGCGCCATTTTTGCGACCCAAAGGCATGGGCCTGGGCGCTGACAAGGCCTTGAAGCCAAAGGCACTGTTGGTGCAGCCGGATAAAAATGAAGTGTTGGAAATCAAGAAGCAAGCCTTTGTACGTATATTGGGTGGCAAGCAGAAAGATCAGTATGGACAAATCGAGGGCTTTGACGATCATGCGGGCCGTGTGATTGTTAAAATGGCCATTGGAGGTGCCAAGGAGGCATTCAATGAGTTTCTCTGCCAACCCGTCTCGCGCAAGGAGTACTCGCAGTATGGCAAGTGCATAAGTAAGTGGCAACCAGAAATATTTAAAGAACAGACTAAGTGAAAGGTAAATAATAGTTGCAATTGCTTACAGATACGGCCAAGTACGAGGAGTTTAAGAAGCTGGAAAACGAGCATGGCCAAATAATTATCAAGCGGGAGAAGTCAACGGAGCGAACTAGTGTTAAAACGGAACGTCGGGAAAGACAACGTGAGGAGGAGCGCAGATTGCATGCAACAAAGGACGAAGAACGGAAGCCATATAAAAAAGAGCACCGGAGTGTCAAGCCTGAAGAACGACGAACCGAGAGCAGGGACTACAAAGAAGAGTGCAGCACATCCTATAGGCGAGGGGAGCACAAACCTTACAAGGCAGAAGAGCGTGGCAAAGATGAAAGCAGCAGCAGTAGTCGTTACCATGAACATGGTCAAGATTCACTCCCCAGCAGCAGTACATCAAAATCGAGTAGTCGGCGGCGACAGCAAAGCAGCTCAGACGAAGCCGAGGATACGGGTGAATCAACAGAAAGTGATTCCGATTCCGCCTACGAGCGAAAAAACAAAAAGTCCAAAAGTGGCAGCAGCCGCAACAAATCCAAGAAAAGGAAGTCAAAGAAAACAAAAGGTAAATCGCATCGCCAACATCGCTCCTCGATCAGCAGTGAAGACAGCGACAACAGCGCAGATGAACGTGCGCGACGTCGTCATCAAAGCAAGCACAAAAAGAAGACGAAGAAAAGTAAACATGCGCGTTCCCGCACACGCTCCCGATCACGCGAGGGGCGTGCCAGGTAGTACAAAGAAAGAAGTAAGGTGACTCTGTTGTTGATTCACTTCAAAACTTTATTTTAAACATTTATGTATCATCAGTAGACGCCTAAGCGTGCATACCTATGCAGGATTATCATTAAATTTCAATTAACTCAAAAATAATCACAAAAATGTCTTTTCTTTGAGAATCTTCGGGGCCCCATACAAACTTAAAGTTAGAAATGCCGCTATATATAGGATTCCATAATATCTTATGTATAAATCATTGTTTTTAGCTATTTATGTAAATGATAATACTTTCATTATGCGCAAAGTATTCTTAGCTTTTATGATAGACTAAATTTATTGATAAGGGTGTACGAGATGGCAAGTAAATGACTTAGTTATAAATATATATGCGTTTTTGGTCGAATGTGATGGGTTGTGTGTGTGTGCCTGATGAGTTTTATTTAGTATTCCATAATATAATTTAATAAATAATTATCCATCTACTGCAGCTTCTTTTTGCCATATTGAATTTTTTCATTGATTATTTTAGAGACTTTCTGGGTGAGGCCCTTGAACACATCCTTTTCATTCAATCCCGGCCACATGGCCACTAGCACAGTGGCACAATACATGAGCAGTAGATTGTTTATAATAGCACCAATCCAGGCCAGAGCCAACAAGCCCATGCTTATTATGATCACAACCTATTGAAATCATAAAGAGGTTGTATTCATTTAGATGTCATTGTTTTATATGTTTATACGACTTACCATTGTTGGCTTGCGCTCCTTGAACAGGTAATCATACCATTCGGCAATACTTGACTTAATGCTATATAGCTGTCCGCAAACCTCCTCAAACTTGGCCTCCTGTTCTCCATCCCATTTGTCCCCGCTGGAAACCAAACGCGACAACATTGGAATAACAAAGTCCATAAAGAACGCCAGTAAAGCCAGCAAAGAGAATAGAGTTATAAAAGATAGATCCATGTACCATAGCAACAGATACATGATACTGATGGCGCCAAAGACGACGCCGGCATAGTATTGCTTTTCCCATGTAAGAACGCCGTAGGCACCCACAATGGCATTGCGGAATGGTTCCAGCTCGTGCTTTAGCTTGATTAGGGCACGTTTCTGTAATTTAATGCAGTTTTCGGTTTTTCATGATGGCGGAATTTGTTGCGTATGTGTAGTTACAAAAATTCAAAGGAATCACAATTACCTGGTCAACCTGCATTGTTGTCATTTTCGTTAGTCGTCTTTCTTAAACTGCTCGCTTGGTTTAGTTTGTCGTATATGTAGTTGTTCTCACTACAGTGGCGCTATTGTTATTTTAGGAGAAAAATCAATTTGTGCGAACTTCCAGTAAGGACGTAAAAAGCATCGATAACAACGATTGCTAACGTAAATTATCGCCTTACGTGTTGGTATGGCAGCACCGATTATAATCGATTCAAGTTACGAACGATACTGTAGTTTTAATGTGACAGTGACAAACACTTTTAAATATCAGAAGTTTGTGCGTGATTATCAAAATTGTACCTAACATGTGTTGGTAAAATTAAAATTTAATAAGTCTTTGTACTAAAAATAAAGAGCACTCGTTTATTGTTATAATAATAAATAAAGCTAATATAGTAAAACAAAAGGGGTGTCTGTTTTAACAGTACTGTGACTTGCTACTTTAAAATACTTTTTCAGAGCAACATCAAGGTATTCCATTCGATACTTTTGAAAATGACTTGAAAAAAATAACACAAGCGGCTACGCTTTCTTGTTTTTCAATAGAAACCCTTTTCTATACAACACACAATGAGTTGTCCGGGCTTTGGTGAAGTTAACATACCCTCCTCCCGTGCCTTCTGGGATGATTGCGAGGAAGACGAATTTGAGAGCATTGAGCCGGCCACAAAGTGAGAGTGCAGTTTTTGGTTTGTAACGTGATTTCTCCAATAGAATATATTATTTCAACAGGTCGCAGCTGAAATTTACTGTTGGTGCGGACGAAGCACCATTCGCCAGCGAGCTTTTCGTACTCGTCGAAGGACCGTACATTAAAGAATTTTGCAGTGGTGCGCTCCTCCAGGATGCAAAACCCATTTGCGATATACCAGCAAAAAATTCAACTTTGCATTGGAACGCTTCGAAGGGACAATTGCTGGCCGCACTGGACGAGGATCTGACTAGCAGTGGCGAAGTTACTGAGCTGCTCATACCCTACGCAAAGTTGGCAAAACGCGTGCTGACCATCACCATTAAGCCCAAGGTGGACTACAAAAGTGAGGTGATTGGCAAATACAGTGGGCACGTGGCCATAGTGCATAGCGTAGGGGGCAAAACGGACGATAAAGCTGTGACCGAGCTAGAGGCACCCAACTTTATAGCTGGCGTAGCAGCAGGCAGTAAGTTTTCATGCGCATATTCGCCCGCCTATATCAGCTTGTACATTAATATATATATTACTTTGCTTTCTTTAGTTGCGAGCTGGCGCAATCAGATGGAGTTGCCGGTCAGCTCTTATGTTATTTACACAGACAAGTTGCCATTGGATGTAATTGCTGCTCAGCCAGTGCTCAAGCTGATGCAAAAGCTTGGCGTACCGTGCACCGAACGTTATATCCCACCAGCCAAGGATACCTCCTACTTGTATATGTAAAAATAGTTAACATGAGCTAAGGTTGCTGTTTATATTTTAATTAAAGGTTGCGGTTGCAAGAAAAAATACCTCACAATTATTTGTAAAGAAATTTAACTTATTTTAATACTTCAAATATGCTCAAATTGATCTCCTTGCTGCGCTGATCCATGTGCGCCTTGGCAATGGCTATGAATTGTGGCCGCGAGAGCAGTGAATATGCGGGCACGAGCAGCGAAGAGATCAGCATATGCAGCTCCTTGTGACCACTGCTAAACAAATCGAGGCCCAACTCTAAAGCCGTGCCAAAATCGCATTCATCCACAGCTATATTGGCTGCATTGGCGACCGGCTGTAATTTCTCTAACACAGCCTGCTTGACATTATCGCTGCCATCATTGAGATCTTTGCGTTCAAATAGAGCCAAGATTTTCTTTAGCTCTGCATCGCTAACCATTAGCGGCCGATACCCCTGCTGCGACTTGCGCTCGTAGGGCACCACAATGCCAGCCCGATGAAACGTTTTGGCCAGCACCCGCTTATCGCGCTCATTTTTCAAGCTGTCGAGCCGGGCCAATTCCAGCGAGTTATCACTGATGTACTGCTTCACCGCTTTCTTGGTGGCAGCTACTTGGGCTGCCGTAAATGGTGTACCCACATAATCATGTTGCAAATAGTGGAGAAATGCATCAAATATGTTGCCAGCCACAAATTCAAACTCACAGCTGCGTGAGGCGTCATTGCGCGCCAACATCAGCCGCTCCTTGTCCTGTGGCACATCGCGCCAGTAGCCGTAGTGTATGCCCGTGCCTTGACGCACAAAAACAGTTTGGAATTCGGGCGGATCGTAATAGAAGCGCCAGTGCCGCAGATAATCGCCCGGTTCACCGATTTTTGCCTTATGGAATTTACCAGCCAGAAATTCAAATGGACCCACAAGCTCTAGCTGGAACACCGTTTCTATGTGCTGTAGTGCAGCAGCTTTGGTGGTGTCCTTCTTAAGCGTGTTAATGAATTTCCAGAATTCATAGAAGTCTTCTGGCATTTCCACTAGAAATTTGTGTCTTATAAATTCATTGCTCTCACAAAGATTATCATACTCCTGTTGCACCGACAAACGTATGCGCTTTTCCAGTATTTCCATAAAATTTTTGCCGGCAATATTGTTCATTGCCTCCCTCTGCAGCTTCTCCGTCTCCGACTCATAGTTGCCAACAGCCTCTTCCACATCAACCTCCGGTGTTTCCATGCTGCCGATTGAGTTGGGACTATCTTTGTCTTCCTTGGCAGTTGCTTTGCGTTTTGGCGCCATTTTTGGCGCTTCAGTTTGCTTTGCTGGATGATTATATTTTTCTAGATGGGCGTCATTCCGCTGATAGCACTTGTCCCAGTATTTACAGTCAGCCTTTGGCATTCTTACAATTTCAAGAAATTTATTTATTTATTTTAATATGCATGCAAAATAAAAATCGATACTGAAAGCTTTTTCTTCTTCTTGCTAGCTACCAAAAGTTTAACTAGGGTTGTAGCAGTTGCATTTGTTTTGATTGATCGATATGTCGATAGTCATATTTAAAATGAGTTTATTGCCAACAAATCGATACTAAATGTGGAAAATCATCGTTGCAAGAATTTGAATTATCAAAACACCTTGCAATGTGTATGTTGAGTTTGGTTTTAATTATTGTAGTTCATTCAATGAATACAAACTTTTGCAAAATAATAAATTTGTAGTTGGTTAGTATTACAATAAGTGTATGTATATGGGCAGACGTTTCAATAAGAAAACACAATAAACCTAAAATGCTACTAATCCTCGACAGCACACATAACTGAGTAGACGCATTCCTCCTTGTTGATCAAATGACAGGTTTTGTTGACCAGGGACATCAGCTGGTTCACATCGGTTGCCCAGTTGTTCAATATATCTGAAGCACTCTTCTTTGTTGTAAAATATATAATGCCAGCAGGTCTATCGATCTTAACACGTATTGTATCACTGTTAGCCAACTTGGACAGATACTCCTCACAGCGATTTGTGGGCAAATTTAGCAGCTCACTCATACGCGTCAAGTGCAATCGTGAGTAATACATCGCTATGATACGTATATTCTTAACAAAAATATTGAAATTAGAATTAATTTATTCAAGTACTTTTTCTAAAACTTACGTGTTCTATCAAGCGGTCTTTCAGCTCAGTGATGCACTTCTTGCCATGCTTGGTGTTATCCTTGAACATATCGTTTTCGGCCAAAACCATGCCAAAATCTGCATTAAACGTATCGAAGTTTATAAGCTCCTTTGACATGAACAGACGCAGTATTTCCCTGTTAAAATAAGAAAATAACTAAGTCATATGAATTACGCATATGGCATGAATGTTTTACTTATAGGCTGGAACATCCTCCAGTTTCTTGTTCTTTGATAGATGTGCCATCATATCGCTCTGCTCGTTGTCATAGGGAGCCAATACGCAGTAAATCACAGCGCAGACCAGCTTATCAGTCAGCTCCTTTTTCTGCGCATCTGTCAGTTCAATCTCAGGCTCTAGTGCAGTAGCGGGTTCCGACTTCTTATCATCCTCATCTTTTGTTTTTTTATCCTCACTCTTTTTCTTTTCATCTCCAGTGGATGACTCATCGGTTTCTGGGGCCTTTTTTCGCGGCGGCTCTGCAATAGCTTGATAATGACGCGATGTATTCAGGAAGGATGTATCTCGATTCAGTTGTATCATCAGGTTGTAGAATTTTAACTTGAGATCATGTTGTGCCGGATCATCAAAAAATTTTATGCTAATTTTCTTGGAAATGATCTGAGTGGACACATAGTCCTCCTTCAACAGACACAGACGCATTTGCTCCAATATGAGCTCGACCTTCTCACGCTTGTCCATGGAGCCATAGGTCTCCACTTGCAGCTCTTCCATGACCGCTGCAGCTCCCACCACATCGCCATCGGCTTCCTTAATGTCCGCTAAGATTTTAGTTAAGCGTGCACGTTCAATTTCTACATAGATTTTGCCTTCGGTAACGGAACGCAGTGTATCTATCAGCTTCAGCTTGCTCTCCTTATCGGGCGTTTTGTCCACATATGTGCAGCATTCCTGAATCATCTTGACCACGGCCTGCTTGAGTTGCGAGCGGCGACGCACAAGCAGTGAGACGTACTCGTTCAATGCATTCCAGTTGCCTGTCTGGAGGCATATCTGGCAGATGGCCACGAGCACACGTGAACAGGAAACCATATCAGCGCCCAGACGTGTTTGTTTCTCTAGCTGAAGCATAATTTCGATGGCTTCATGAAAGGCATCAGGATTCTTTTTGGCCAGCTCCTTGGCTAGGGGAATTTTCTCATCACAGGCGGGCTCATAATCCACCTCCATTTTTGTAATGCGACCGCCATCGAACAAATAGTTATCCATGATTAGCTTCAAAATTGAAAAATATGTTAGTTATAGAATTTTTGTTGGTGTTGTTGTTGTTGTAATTCGGTAGTATGACAAGGCAACTTTTGGCAGCGCCGCTACTCACATTTTGTTACGTTGAACTGTCTCGAAGCGTATTTTTGGATGGTCAATGAAGTAAACTATTTGCCGCCCTATTTGCGGTTGCTGTTATGATATACTATTTTTTCGGGCACTAGCAAATAAATGCGGTGAATTTCGATTAAAACTCTGCAGAAATTTGCTTACAAATGATGTTAAGTTGGCTGCGCGAGATATCAGTGTTGAGCAGTGTCTGACAAACAATGCATTTTCAAATTGAAACTAACATCAAAACTAGATTGATTAAAAAAATTTGTTAAACATCTAAAAAGTACAAAATTTGCAATTTGGGCTTATAGAATGACAACTGGTAAAAGAACAAGGCTACGACGAAAAAAGAACAAAAATCGCAAATCGCGCAAACGTACGGTAAGTTGTGCATCCCTGGTGCTGCATTTTAGCTACACTGCACAACACTCGCGATTTAGCCTTTGTTAAGCCGCGAAAAATTCGCTAAAATACAATAAATTAGGCAATTGTTTTATGAAAAACGTGTGTAAATTGTTTTTATGCCAAGAAACTGCGTTGCGCTATTCGTAATTAACTCCTTGCACAGTGTCGCAAGCGTTTGCTGTTTCAACGCTACAACTACAATCACATTTTGCGCGCCAATTCGAGGGGCAGCCGAAAGACAAGCACCAAAATGGCACAAATACAGGAATATCAGGATCTGGTGCTAGACGCACTCGATACGGTCGAGTTCAAGCTGAGTAAGTGCAACTGTTGTGTCAGTCTTCAATTATAGTATTAACTTTCGTTTGCCTGCTTGCAGTACGCGACAAGGCGGACATCAACAATGAAGCCATTATATTTCATCCCGCCATGGCGCACCAAATATTTGGTGAGTCGGAGACCATATTTGGGTATCAGGGCTTACACGTGCGCGTGCTGTACACGGCCGGTCCGCTGCACATCTATCTGGGCATTGAGTACGAGAAGCGTGTAAATGAAATCTCTGGTGGTGAAATTAAAGCCGACGATGTGGTGGCCACCATTGCGCAAAGCCTGCCTGACGGCTGCTATTTCATTAACCTAGATGAGTTTCTTAAAACGCTGGACAAGGCGGACAAGTTCCAGCCATTTGGCGAGAAGCTCAGCGAATACACTCGGACCGCTGATGATGGCAGTGAGCGGCTTTTTGAGATATATCAGTGCGACTACAAGATGTCCTCATTTTTAAAGTTCTTTGCGCGTCTGCAAACGTTTATATTGTGGTTTGTCGACGCTGCCTCCTACATAGACACCGACGACGCCCAGTGGTGTTACTTCATCTGGTAAGTCGACTTTTATATATAATTTACGCTTCTTTTAAGCCTAGTTTATTTTAGCTATGAGAAATACAAGAATAAGGATGGACAGTACCAGTATGCAACTGCAGGGTACACTACCGTTTATGAATATTACGCGTATCCGCAAAACAAGAGGCCGCGTATCAGCCAAATGATCATTTTGCCACCATTCCAGAAACTGGGTCTGGCCACCCAACTAGTGGAAACCATCTACAAGTTCTACCAGAGCCAGAAAAATGTGGTGGACATAACCGTTGAGGATCCATCGGAGGAGTTTCAGAGATTGCGAAATTTCGTTGACGCACGTTTGTGTCTGGAGCTTAAATGCTTTGCACGCGACGAAATCAAAAAGGGGTTCAACAAGGAGATGGTACGGGAGGCACGTGAGGCCTTGAAGCTTAATCCGCGTCAGGTGCGGAAAGTTTATGAATTGCTGCGGCTTTACTACACCAACGTGCTTGACGAAAAGGAGTATAAAATGTATCGTCTAGAGGTTAAGAAACGCCTCAACGCCGTTTACTATAAACAGATAAAAGATCTTCAAAAGATGGAACGCTATAAAATGGACACAGAAATGCTGCGTGCACGTTTGCCAAATACGAAACAGCGCATGGAGCAGCTGCAGGAGGAGTATGTGCTCATTGAACAGGATTACAAGAATACTATTGATAAGCTACGAGCCTAGATCTATAATATATAAAAAGAAGACCGCTGGGTGTTGATTAATTTATTACATTTTCCGTTCTAAATATGTTGATTACAAAATACAATTTGTTGCTATAAGCCTACAGTAGGATTCTGTCGAATAAATGTGTATTAAAAAATACCTTCGTGTGTTTATGTCTGTGTAGGGCCAAATTCGAAGCGTGTGCGCGCTCTTGAGCAATTAAACACATAGAAAACATTTTTTATAATTATATATCGATACATATATGTATTGTTTTTACAAGAATTAAAAAAAGGTTGCGTATTGGAAGTACATACGTATGGGTGTAAATATTCGGGGACTTTATAGATTTTGTGCTGCACTAGCACAAAGTTCGTATAACTAGCAGGACCCGTACTCCTCCATCCATTTCTCGAAACGTGCCACATCGTCAGCCGAAACGGATTTTTTGGTGCGCTGCTGAGCATCCTGAAAATCCTGTAGTGTGATGGGCTGGTCCACATCTTCGCGGCGTATTTGCTTGATTTGCTGCGGCGTGCGGCCAGAGATGAGACGTCGCATTGCCATCATGGAGGCATCACGGCAAACATTGCTTATGTCCGAGCCGGAATACCCTTGCAACTCATCACCAATCATGCTCGTGTTGAGATCAGACGACAGCGATACATCCTTAAGGCAGAGCTTTAGCAGTGCTGCACGTGTTTCCTCTGTTAAATGAAAATATCATTAGAATAGGTCTGGCTGAGGTTAGTTTAGGCCACGGACCATTGGGCAGCGGTATATAGATGCGTTTCTCGAAGCGCCGGCGAAAAGCCTCGTCAATGTCCCAGGGATGATTTGTGGCTGCCAGCACCATGATGACCTTGTCATCCTGCAAACTAGCATTAAGACCATCCATTTGGATAAGCAGCTCCGCTTTGAAACGCCGGCTAGCCTCGTGCTCGGAGTCGCTGCCGCGTGAGGCGCACAGAGCGTCGATTTCATCAATGAAAATGGTGCTGGGCGCATAGAAGCGCGCCATCTCAAAGAGCAGACGTACCAGCTTCTCGCTCTCGCCGCGATATTTGGATGTCAGCGTGGATGAGGAAACATTGAAGAATGTTGTGCCGCATTCAGTAGCCACGGCCTTGGCCAGCAAGGTTTTGCCCGTGCCTGGTGGACCCACCATAAGCACGCCGCGCCACGGTCGACGTATGCCCTTAAAGAATTCGGGCATTATATTGGGCAGCACCACAGCTTCCTGGAGTAAAAAAATTCAAAATAAACTGAAAATGGTTTATGGTTTCAATAATATTACCTGCAATATGGTCTTAGCCTCATTGAGACCAGCTACCTCGGTCCATTTGATGCATGGATGTCGTTGCAGTATGTCCTTCTCCAGTGTATCAACCAGGTGTCCCTCATAGCCCAACGGTGAGAAATGCTTGACTTTTATCTTGGGCGAACATCTTGGTGTAGTGTGCGTGGTAGATTGTGTATGCGAATTATCCTCCAGCGATGTGGTCGCATCCTGATCATCCGAATTCGAGTTTTCATCCAATGAATTCTTCTTTACCGCCCTTTGTTTGAGTGTCAGCTGTGTATTGGTACTCAGCTTGCGGGCCCGCAAACGTTCCACGGATCGACTCTTGCGCACTGCTGCTGTCAGCGCGGAGGCTCTGCCTGGGCGACTCAGACGCAAACCGACCCCGGCATTGCTGGCCGTGCTGCTCGCTGTTATGCCCACATTGCCAGCGCTGCCATGATGGCTCTGGCTCAGACTGTTGCTATTCAAATTGCTGCTAATGGAGGGCAGCGTTGGCTGCAGCTCGGGATCGCGTCGCCGCAACGAGGACACCCATCGACTGTCCTGCTGTTGCTGTGAGGGAAACGACATTGCAGTCTGACTGGTACGTGGCTGCGGGGCTACCTCTGTATCGTAGACTGCGTTTAATTGTTGGGTGAGCGATCAAATAAACATTTGAGGCACAAACCTTGTGTGGGCAAACGCTGCTTATTGCGCAATGGCAGCGCGCCGCCAATGCCCAAGCCATTGGGTGCATTGGGTCCTAGATTGTTGATGGGCCGATGTGGATTTACGGGGGCGGCCTGTGGATGCTGATGTGGATGCACGATTTCTGCCGGCGGCTTCTTCACGGCATTGCTATTACGCGTGGGCCGGCTGGTGGTGGTGATTTTGGTAAAGGCAAACGGTGACAGCGAATCCAAGATTAATGAGTCCATCATGCGCGCCATATGCGATAAGCTTGCGGGTGGCGTTGATGAGCTGCAAACAAGGTAAGGAAAATATTGACCCATGAATAATGCTGCTTGCCATTGGCCCTGCACATTCAACTTGGCCCAACGCCCAGCAAAGGTCAATTTGCCAGGCTTATCAGCTGGCGACAACAAGTCCCTTGCGTGCGCCGTTTCTAGTCTGGCCAATGTTTGTCTAGTTCCACAACATTTAAGTGTGTGCCAGAGTAGGCACAAACACATGCACAGATAGTGCCCAGGTAATTCTAGGAAGCCAAAGCTCGTGTGGCTAAAGCGCGCACCTGTCATACCCATACATACATATGCAAAACAGTTGTGGGTTCAATAAACTTGGGCGCTGAAATGCCGCCCAGGTTATTGACGTGCCGGCGACTATTGTTATTGTTAACATTCACATGCGTCATCGTGATTAACGGTAATTCATTTACCTGAACATTTTGCTATAATAGTGCAATTGCCATTTTATTCGATTGCTGCCTGCATCAAAAAATGTCCACACGCTCAAAAGTATGCTACATTATTTTCTATTAAGTTTTTCGTCTTAGCTAATTAAGTTGTCCGCAGTCGGCCATATTTCTTGGGCAGCTACAAACCGGATGTGGTCTCATTGCGCGCACATAAACAATTGGGTTAATGTTTCTGATATGGTAGCTAACAGGCACCCACTTTCCGGAGCCAGAGATTTCTGTGATTAGCGGCTAACTGGGCCAACTTTTGCGCTAGCAGAGTCATTAAAAACGTCTGATCCGCCTATTTGGCCTATATATTTATTGACTCTGGCTTTATATCTAGGGTTTGTTTATTGGCGCGCTTCGAAAGTGAGTACAAAGCCATATAAATAGCACGCTTGATTGATGGACAAACTGGCACAAGGCTGCCGAGGAAAATAACTGATAGAAATAGGAATCTAGATGAATGGATAGCTCAGTCAGCTCCCCCTTTTTCTCTCTCTCTGTCTTTCTCCTTGTTTATTCTTTGTTTTAAAACGCTTGTCGGTGCAAATGCGTGTCACTGAAAAAGGTGTTTATGTTAATTTCTTGTTACAAAGAAAGCCAACCCAAAGAGCCGTCAATTTATGCAAATAACAACTAATAGAAAATATGACTAGCAAAAACGTCAAGTGGTCGGAAGTCGTCTGATAGTAGGCTAAGGACTGGGAAACTTACGTCTTACTCCGAATCAACCTTATGAAAATTTAACGTATATTTAAATTACTCTAAATTTCAAAAGATGGTAAATTTCGTGAACTATGGGTTTTATGAAATACGAATAGTGAATAAATAGGTAAATAATTCAACTTGTTGGATAGCATACACTTCTCTAAAAATTTGTTTTTAACTTGTATTTAATAAACGAGTCTATTTTTAAAATAAACTTCAAATGGATCGAACTGATATTAAAAGTCTCTTTGATTTGAAAGTTAAGGCCTGCGATATAATAGACTTTTTGTGCAGATCCCATAATGAAAGACGTAAAGGGCATGGCCCCTTTTTTTACGCATAATTACCACTGATGCAGATCCCATAGCGAATGATATGGCGTGTGTCTATAGCCAGACATAAAGGGCACGGCCACTTCATATTCCACCTGAACATTGGGCGGAGATTGCGGACGCACTGCTAGCGCGGTGCGCTCCAGCGCTGGATTGGAGCTGGTCAGCGTACGTTGACGCATAAACGATTGTGTTCCATTGTTGTTGTTCAGCATTTGGGCAACGTTGGCGCCAGTTGGAGGAGGTCCAGCAACCGATTGGCCCATGCCAAACCAGTTTTGAGCATTTGTGTTAAACATTGTTGCCGGCTGCAGCAACAAAGACTTGGCAATATTCACTAACAATTTAAAATCACACTAAAATTTACTCAAAATGTACTACTGCTTGACGGAATATTCGGAAACAATACGATGCGTCGCGAGTCGGCATATACCTAGCGACTCAAGGGTTGTCCGCCAACTGACCACATAACTGGACGACGGACGCGTCCACAACAGAAAGCAAGCTCATTATTTGCATGGCGGGTAGTTTCTGGGTATTTTTGTATGTGTTCTTTGTGTGTGTGCATGTGAAATGAGGTTAAAGGAAGTATTGCTTTGAGTTTTTGTTGTTCACTTATTGCCTACACCTGAGTCCAGTGGTCAATGCACGCTAGCCCAAGTTGACTCAAACTCAAGCAAAAGATGCCATCGATTTCTGCGACTAGCTAAGGCACATACATAAATGAACACACATATATACACACGTATTTTAACGTATTACAATACATTCTTAATAATTAGGCGTTTGTTTTTGCCGGCTTTAATGGCGCGCTTGCATGCGGCTTAAATTGCGAGCCAAACCTCAACATATCAAAAAAAAAATGTTATTTATGTATGTAAATTTAAATAGTATATACGGCTTAGAGTGTCTTGTCAACAAACGAAGGACATTTTTATTTAGTATATATACTTATAGACAAATCAGCCGCCCGAGATAAAAATCGATACGCATTGAGGGAAAAAATATGCACTTGGTTTTTACCAGTCAAGGCACGTTGAAGTGGCCTAGCACGCCTACAGAAGGCGCTTCATGGAAAAATGTATGCCTAATTCTGCTGCTACCTTACTTACCCTGCGTTCATCATAGGCAAAAAGGTGGATGTGGAGTCCACGGTGCGTATGGCTGTATTGCCACGCAGCACAATCTTTTCGCGTGTGGTGCGTCTGTAGGTCTCCTCGCCGCGCATCCTTGTACTTCAATTTCACGTATTACCAAAACAAATATTCAAATTTTCACTATTAATTTTTATTTATTTTTTAGATATTCTCTTGTTTATTTTTGCCAAAATATGAGTGTTGAACAAATTTTGCGTCTGCTCTTCCCACAGGCATTGTCAAAATGAGCTGTGAGCCAACTGAGACGGTAGATGGTGATGCTGTATGACAGCAGCCATTGCTCTCACGCGCTAAACTCTCTCTTCGTGGCTCTCTTCTCTCAGCTGGTCGAATTGCGCAACTTTCAAAGTGCAGCGTTGCGACGCTGTTGCCCTTTGGCGGCCCTCTTCACGACACGCTGCACAAATGGTCACTAACTGGTCGCAATGTTGGTGGTCAGCCGCATTGAATATTTGGCCCAAAGTCAGCTGGTGAAAACTGGGGGATGTTTGTATGTGCATTATGGTATGCATTCTATGCCTTTTACAGCTGGCGTGTTTTAAGAGACAATACTAAATTTTGTTTAAATGCTCTTTGATATATATATATATAAGCAACAATGTTGCTTGTTCTCTTATTTTGCTTAAAATGCAGAAGAGTGCTGCATTGAATTTACATTTTAAAATGTTGTGTTGCATACTTTAAGTGAATTACATTTTTTATTTGCACTTGATGTATTTTGAAAATATCTATATTCCGATGTGCTTGGACTTGTCCTTTATTTTTATATATATTGCCAATATTTCATTCACACTTGCTCTATCGCTCATTACGTATATAGATTATTTGCTTCCCCTCACCATTTAAATAAGGTTTTATATTTTTTTTTTAACCCACTCAGAAGAACAAATATATTTGATTTTTATTGATCGATTTTTAAAAAGCTACTTATAAATTCTGATAGTAAATGACCATTCAAAAACCAGTTTGTAATTGGTGAAACTTTTTATAAATATTTCACATTTTATCTTATACAAATTTTTTATAATCAAAACTTGAACTTTGCTTAAACACTCAAAATTGAAATTAAATAACTGTAATCGTAAAATATTTTGGGCAGTTTACAAACAAATTCTACACAAACACACAAATATATTGAATGATTGTGCATTTCAAATTATGTCGTTAAAATAATGAAAAACAAAACGCAATAAAAACCATTTGAAAATTCTTTTAAAACTAATAGTTTCAAATGTACTCATTCATCATATATATATCAATATAGACATACATTAATAAGTATTTAATAAATATATTAGCCGTTTCTAACAAACACGAGGCACGTCGAAATGTAAGTAGACCACAAAAGAGAATATTAAGTTTACATCTTGTTATTATCGTTTTGTTTCCTTTTTGACTTGGGAAATTTGGTGGCTTCAGTTGCTTTGTTGTCGACTCGACTTTATAAGGTTGCATGTGTATCGTATGTATATAGATAGTTGTTTATAGATTTCCTGTTTTTTATGTATGTAACGCTTTAACAATAACTATAACGTTGGTAATTTTTTCATTCTGAAAATATTATGTCTGATTACTAAAAATGTGTGATTTATTATTATTTTTGTTTTGCTTTTGTGCACTAGAGAGATAGTTTTAAGTTTTGTTTCTTCAAATTATTTACAACTAGCCCTACAGCATCTTGCTTTGACGTTTCACTAATTTGGCGAGTATTTAGTAGTATTTCCACGACTCTATTGATTTATTGAAATTTACGTGTGGATGATCGCGCCTTCCAGGCCTTGACTAGATTGTACGCAAAGTAAAGTGTGAACCCATGAATCTGAAAGCCCACAAAACAAAAGGCATACCAAAATACACCATACGGAAATCCCTGAAAGAGAAGCAACCAAATTGTTTATTTGATACGTTTTGTTTTTTTCATTTTATATTTGACTTACGCGCCATACGAAAATGTCTGTTTCGTCCAGCTCCACGGCCTTGTCCATGGTCAAAAACTCCCAAACGTCGGCAAAGTAATAGGCGAAACAGTAAAGCAGCGGGAGCACAGCCATTATCAAAATGGCAATCATATACTTTTGCATATCGCGGACCTTGTTGCCACGTGCCGCTGAGAGGCCCAGAAACGATGTGAGCAGCGAGGCAGCCCAAACGTATTCCCACCACAGTGGCTGCGGCACCTCCAACTCTTCGATTTCGAGCACAAATATATCCAAGCGATCCAATATGTCAGACGTCAGCTTGGCCAGCATGACAAAGAATAGCAGGGCATGAAAGAAAATGCAGTACTTCAGACGCGATTTGTTCAACAAGCTGCAAATAGAGGAAAATTTATGTTGCATTTGTAGTAACTTGTCTCGTTAGTTAGGTTTCCGTTTGTTTGGTAGCCCTCGGCCTTTAGCTATCCAAAATATGTACACAAACAATAATGTTGTTGTTGTTGCTACTGTAAACAGGCACACATGCTGAGTGTCTAGCTGGCACTTTGCCCACCCACTCTGCTGGCGCTGCCTGCCTGGCTGGCTGGCTGGCTGACTGACTGTTTGTCTGGCCCGTGCACCTTCTGTAGCAGGAGTTGCAACTTGATTGCAGTCGATTACGATGTCATGACTTTTTGGCTTTTGGTAGTGCAGGCGCAGCTACTTGTAAGTAATTAGATAATTTTGTGGAGGTTTAGAAAGTGTTATTAACCTAATTTGATATGTGTTTGCCACTTTCTGCCTAAACTCGAAATCATTGCCATCGGTGCCCGCGACCATTGGACCGCCGCGAGATGCCATTTTGGTGCGTCAATTCGATGCCGTTTTTACCAAAGCTTTTTAACAATTTTAAATACAATTTAACTGTCTTCAAAGTACTTCTCACAACATTTGCTCGGACGATACATTGTGGTGGTCGGTCGATTACAGCGGTGCAGATGGCATAAAATGAGTGTTGGCTAACAGTGAAATTAACTCTACAGTACCAAATACTCGTTATCAACAGTTTACACTAAATTGTGGAGGTCGGGCAATAGGCGTCGTGAGTGCTGTAAATCACCATAAGTTTTAAAAAAAAAATACGCCAACTTTTTATTTACCACATTACTTTTCCGCAATTTATCTGTAATATTAGCATAATTAAGTACACATTTATATGCAAATGTGTGATTTGCTGAACTTAAATTTGGTAAGTGGACGCGAAGGCACCGTGAAGCTCATTGGTCGGACAACTGCGTCACTGCCACCTGTTGCTTATTTGCATTTCAATCCATAAATCAATTCACGAAAAGGCGAACAATAAAGAGTGCAAAAAGCGCATATTTAAAAATAAATTATACATAAAATACATACATATCTATTTTTACTTTTTTGCTGCAGCTCTTTGCAAACGGTTCTGTTCTATACGCTCTTTGCCATAGCTCTTTGAGCGCCTTATGCTCGCTGGGCTACAAAAGTGGAAACAGCCGCTAAGTGCCATCAGTTCTACGGCGGTATTCTTTCGCAGAACGTCTTGGTGCGAAGTGCATGCGATCGGCAACGGAGTTTTTAATTAGAATTAGCAATTTACGCAAACATTTAATGCCAGTTATTGATAACTATCGTCTAAGTTTTTATGCAGAGATAGGCAGCTGAGTTCACTTCACTCATATGTAGTTGTGTGTTCGTGTGTGCTTCGCTTAACGGTAATATTTGTACTTTATTTGCATTATTTGTATTATGCCCTTTGCATATTTTGCATTTTGAAAATTAATGTGTGCATATTTTAATATAGTTGTGTTTGTGCCGTTCTTATTTGCCTTTCGCGACTGACCTTGTTGGCTGTCAGTTGGTTTTGCTAATATCGTGGCCAAATTTGAAATTATTTTTGTAAATATTTTTCAAAATTTTCGGTATCTGCAGCTGTGTCGACATCCGCTTGCCAATATGTTTTGGTTTTTCATTGTTTTGATTTTTGGCAACAATTATCAACGATTGTTTACATATTAAACATTAGACAATCAAGCTGTATGTGATTCCGTGTGTGTGCGTGACTTTTACAACCTTGTGATATTTGTTGTGCTTTAAAAAAGTCGTATAGATACAATCGATCATATGATTTAGATAACAATTAATAATATTATCAAATGTGATTAATTAGTAAATGTCTGCTTTCTCCTTGTCTCTTTGCAGCTGCTCTTTTGCCGGCTGTGCATTCAGTTAAATAACATAAGACCAACCGAGCGCAACGAAACTCAAGTGCATTCGTATCCAAGAACAAATCATGTCCGCGATTGCCGCTGACAAACGCGCATCGTTTGCGCGCCGGGCCGAAAGTCTGGTGGAGCGGGTGAGAGTTTTGAAAACCATTTACGAGGTAATCGGTATCAAGTGACCAAAATGCGTGAGATATAACAATTTGTTTGCTTTTCGATCAAGTTGTCTTTTAGGCTTACCTGCATGATTGTTTGCCACCCAATTGGAATTAATGTGCAATTAATTAAACACGAGTTGTAAAATCATTGCTTGGACCAGTACCCAAACTATTACCACAAAAGTCCGTTTCTGCATACCTAATTTAGGCTAGTGGAAGCATGAACCGGAACTTTAAAGTCATGCAATCCCCTATCGATAAAAATGCTATAAACATGAATACCCATACACACATACATATATGTATATTCGATATCAACATTTATTTGATTAGACGTAATGGGCGTGGGTGCAAGTCATTACGAATTTAGACACTCGCTGCCCTGACTTTGGTATGCTCTGTCAATTAATCTTTGAAAATGAATAGTTCCCCAAACAAACATATGTATGTATATAAATGCATATGTATTATGCTTGCGATTTATTACAACAATTAGTGAGGCGTATTAAATGTGCAAAGATCAAGGACACGACGTGGTTATTGACAGGAAAACTGTTGTTGTCGTTGTTGTTGTTAATGATTGTGAGTGCTATTAACAATTTAATGGAACGTTGTTGTCTATTTAATTGACCCTTTGTTTCTCAATTATTCCAGAGCGCTTTAATTTTTGGCGAAACGGTCATAGCTCTGTGGGCAGTGACCACTTTATCTATAGCTATTCGAAAGCCTGAGATCTTGATAATGCTCTCTGTTTGTGTCGATGTACGCCTTTAGCGTTCGAGCTATAAATAAATCTTTCAAATTAAGAAGCTCGCCAAATTGGCTTGGTAATTGTGCAAAGCGAATGCGTCTTTATCAGACTCAGACGCTTTTGCAGTGACATCAATTGAATGAGGACTGGGTAATAAATAGTTACATCGATGTACATATGTATATAACTATTAACGTACAAAGCCGCAGAATTAATTAAGCGGGTGAAGCAACACAGCACTGAAACTTACACACAGAAAAACATATCGTTGGCCAACGACCGAGCAGTTCATTTGTTTTGTTGCATTCGAATATTTAATTCAACGCCAAATGGTGTGTGTAATATTTAGATACACGAGGGCAGCTCATAAACTCCGTACGAAAAGCAAGTGGTGTTTTGATATATAGTTATAGATATAATATATTTTTATCAGTTAAGGTTGCAGATCATAATAGAAAACAAAAACAATTTAGAAAGCAAATTAATTGGAATTTAATAAAAAAAAAACTCAGCCATCGTCGAGAGAAGAGCTGTATAATGATAAAGTATAATGTATCAATCAGTTCGCATTAGCACGGCTCAGATTTATACGAACGGGGCTTCCCCTCTTAGCATGGAACGACGTGAATGTCTTTATCGGACTGGCATATTTGTCTTATCGAAAATAGCAACGCAAATAAAGGCAATTGCGTAGAGTGTGACAGTGCGGCACGCAAGCAAAACAAAGAGAAGGAAAAAACAAAAAATACAAAGCAAAATAAATGTACGATAAAAAGCTAATAAAGTGCAACATAAATAAATGCGTGCGTAAACATCGCGTGAATTCATCGTCCCAATGAATTTGGCAGCGGACCAAAAAGACACAGAGAGAGGGAGATAGCGGAAAACAGGGAGTGAGAGAGAGTAGATAAGGGTGGGGCGATACACAAGGCTCGTAACTTGATGGCCTGCCGAAAATATTTTCAGCAAAGTGCCAGAGTTTGTACTTGAATTTTCCTGCTCTTTTTGCTGATATCCTTCGTTGTCCTGGCACGTGTGTTTGTATTGCCATTGGGGCTTAAAGTGTCCTCTTTTCTTATGCTGTGTGCTTTGTCTGTGTGTCTTAGTGTGTGTATGAGAATTTGTGTGTTTGTTTATAAGTAATACCGCTTTGAAAGCCAAGCACTTGAATTTCTCCCGGGCTCACATTTAAAACGCATTAAATTTTCGCCCAACATATCGAGCGTCTCAATTTTAAAGTGTCTGCCGTTATTTAATAGATAGATTATTGAGGTTGATTAATATCAAGAATTAACTTAGAGGTACTTAAGCAGAGCCCCGAGCAGTTTGTGCTATGATTGAAAATAAGCTCAGATATATATTTCAATAAGATGTGCAAATTTATGAAACAAAATATATAACGACTAACCGTTCTGTCTATACGCGCTGATAACGTTATTCGATTACCGTTAATTAATTCTCTAAAAGTACATAATTAAATTATTGACATATTGTGCAATCTACATTTTACATGTTACACAATATTTGTTGTTTAGAATTACATTTAATCTATTCATTTATTGATTTTTTTTAAATCATGTTCAAACAAACGTTTTTTTTCTGGATTTGTTGCCGTTCAGCTTATGTTGCTGACAGAATTTAAGTCATATCAAAATGTGTGAATGAGGAAGCGGATTAAAGAGCTCATTGCGTATAGGCCGCGTTTTTTTCGAATTAATTGCACAACAATTATATGAAATATAGAAAAAAAAAGCAGGTAACAGTTAAAGCGCAAATGATATGTTTTAATTTCAATTTAATTGGAGGAATAAACGAAAGTGGTTAATAGGAGAGGGTGGCTGAAAGCGAAGAAATAAAAACGTGCTCGACTATGAGATACACTGAGCCCAGCAGCAAGCTGACTTTTCACGCCTTTTCTAGTTTCTTCTCTACATACATTCACAGTTGCTTTTTCCAATGGGAAACGCGTTCATTATTAATTTCGGTTAAGTTTGATCCTTATATAATTTTTAACATTATAAGTAATATGCCAATTTTTATATACTCCAAAAATCAGAAATTTTTCTCTGGAAAGTGGAGAAACAAGTTTGATACTTATACGACAGTGTCGTAGCTTTTGAGTTCGAGCCATTCATTAAATTAGACAGGCGGTCAGATCAAGGATACACTATATATGTCAAACGTTTTACAACTGCACAAGTTTGTTATGGCGTATAAAAAGTGAAAGCTCAGCCACAACAACAGTTGCTGCACAAACGTTAAGAAAACATTAACAGCAACAAAAGCAACAATGTCAGCTACAATTACCTAGGCAGGTGCGCAATGCAAATAAACAAGCAGAACTACAGCAAAAACAACAATAACAACGAGCAAAAGACGACTTATATGCACAGGCTGGAAAACAAAATACATAGAGAAAAGACGCGTTACTTAAGCGTTGGGTGTGGGGCTTGTCGGGGGCGTGACAATAAGTCAAAGCAACAATGGCAAAAAGTTTCCAAGTGCTGTGCTGAGCATACTTTAAGGCGCAAAAGCCGAAAGACAATTGAAAGCCCGTAAGCCACTTGCCAAAGGGCACCAGCTGAGTTAACGGGGGCGTGGCATTATCTGTACTTTTTGAATAGCTATAAAAATAAGTGCAAGATAATACAGAAGTGCTAAGCCAAACAATCAACAGAACAAAAATAAACTGGTTAAGTTAAATGAGATTGTGATTCTCGGTTGATTGCGATAATAAAATCTGACAGGTAATATGTCGAACAGATGGGGATCACATTGAAATCATATGTTATTTATACGTGGTAATGATATATCAGGGGGCCCTAGTATTAAAGGTACAAGTCAATTACCAAAACCTGTAATTCAAATTGGTATAACTAAAAAAAAATCATAAGAGCATGGTCTGTAGCAATAATATTATAAATTTGATCACCTGGGTGTCCTAATTCAGCTCGAATTAAAATTCTTAAAGATGTTCGTACTATTGATTTATTGATACATAGACAATTAGCATCAGCTAAAGCAGTATTCCGAGTCTCGGTTAAGCAATTCGACTACTTGCGGGTAAAGGTAGGACAATGATCCCCAATTGGGTTTTTAAACAAGAAGGCCATTTCCGAAATTCGGGGCATAGTAAGCAACCATTAATAAAATAAACTGGTTAAATATCAAAAACACTTTCACATTATTATCTTAAACTACAGAAAGCGAACATTTATTTAACGTAGCTTGTGCCCCGTGTTTGTCGGACAACAAGATGAAAGTAGAACGTGTTCAATTTCAGCATACTTGAGTTTATTCAAGGACCACATCAATTTTCCACTTGCCTTAAGTTAATTGCAATAATCTGTAAAGTCGTATAGGCCATGTTAATCAGCTATGTTTTAAATTCTTAAGCTATATTAAAGTTTTCTGTCGTAATTTGAATTTTTGTATTACACAACCCCTGGATATACGAGTGTGTCGCATTTAGTATTCAGCCTTGAATTTTCCAGCGTTGACAACGAATTTTTGTGCTGTGGCAGTGCAAAATAAAAAACCTAAAAAAAAAGAAACTCATCAGACTTATGGCCATGCTCATTGACAACCGTGATATTCGTAGTTGAACGTGAGCAGCATTCATATTCACGCACACATTCGTATTCAGTTCATCATTATCAACATCATCATTGTTTGCCGTGCATTGTTTCTTTTCCTGTTTTTTTTCATTTCTATGTATTTAAAATGCATATGATAATAGTTGTTCAGTTTTATTTTTTATCCTATGCATTTTTATTGAAATGCACTCTTGAATTCGACGGGCTTTGTTGTCTGATGTGACAGGCAGCGATTTGGGTTAGGAGCTGCCAGTTGCCGGCTTGACCTACGCCACGTAAATTCGAAATGCGCATATTGTATACGACTTTCGGGGGAAGTGGCATAAGGGTGGTTTTAGCTGCTTGCTGGATAAATGAATGGCAATGGCAGTCGCGCATTTTATTTTCTGCGAGCTGGCAAATTAGCGCATCAAAACAAAAAGACGCTTAGAAGGCACAAGAACAAAAACAATAGCGGCAGTCGCCAGGAAGAATCGGCAAAAACAATGCATATAAGCGCGAAAACTAAAACAAAAGGAATATTTTGTAAAAAACCGCCACAAGTTCACACACACACGCACACATGCTACAGTAAAAGACAATGCGTGGGTGCAAAAAGCTGGGCGCTCACAAGTAGGCAACGAAATTTTGCACTGTGCTGTGGCATTTCGCGTGGG